ACCTAGAAATGAACCTTCAGGAACTCCAACATTTAATGGCTAGGTGTTACTGGTTGAATTGTCCTCCAAAATTTGTATTTGAAGGCCTAGTACCTCAGATTGTGACTGTATTTGCAGACACTGCCTTTAAAGAGGCAATTAAGTTAAAATAAGAATGGTAGGGTGGGGCCTAATCCAACCTGACTGGTGTCTCATAAGAAATTTGGACATACAGAGAAACACCAGGAGGGAGAGTACACAGAAGTAAAACCATGTGAGGACATAACAAGGAGGCAGCCATCTGCAAACCAAGGAGAGAGGCCTCAGGAGAAACTAAATCTGCTGACATCTTGATTTTTGTGCTTCAAAGCCACAAGAACTAAGAGAAAATTAATTCCCATTGTTCAATAGCCACCAAGACTGTGGTTTTGTTATGGCAGCTCTAGCAAAATAATACACTAGATTAAAAAAAAAAAAAACAGTTGTGGGGGGAATATTGTACAAAGATGACAGAAGATAATTCCTGGAGATTACTTTGTCATAATAGAGTATTTTGTCACCGAAGTCAAGGCAAGAGTGTTTCAAGTATGGGAAGCAGTCAACAGTGTTAAGCTTGGCTGACAGGTCAAGATGAAAACTAAAAATTGTTCTCTGGATTTAGTGAGTTGGAGTTTGATGGTATTCTTTGAGACAGAGCACAAGCAGGCAGAGGGAAAAGGAGAAGCAGACTCCCCCCTGAGCTGGGAGCCTGACATGGGGCTTGATCCCAGGACCCTGAGATCATGACCTGAGCAAAAGGCAGACACTTAACTGACTGAGCCACGCATGCGCCGAGTTTGATGATATTCTTAACACAGACTCTTGGTGGTGTAAAGTGCAGAAAGACAGAATGGTATGGGTTAAAGAGTGAGGTCAGGGAAGTGAAGAAATGACAGAAGATTATGGACAACTCTTGAGGTTTGATAAGGGAAGGGAATAGGGAATGAAGTTCTTTTTATTTTTTTTTTAAGATTTTATTTATTTATTTGAGAGAGAGAGAATGAGAGATAGAGAGCACGAGAGGGAAGAGGGTCAGAGGGAGAAGCAGACTCCCCGCTGAGCAGGGAGCCCGATGCGGGACTCGATCCCGGGACTCCAGGATCATGACCTGAGCCGAAAGCAGCCGCCCAACCAACTGAGCCACCCAGGCGCCCTGAAGTTCTTTTTAAATGGGAGAGACTTAACCTTTTTTCTCAATGAAGTTTTCAGTTTAAAGAAGAAATTGAATGTATAAACAAAGGAATTGGTAGAATAGCATTCTTGAGAACGGTGGAGGGGACACTTTACAGCTGAGATGGGCTGACAAAGGCCATCAAAGGCTGTCAAAGACGGCCCTTTGTTAACAGGGAAAGAAGGGCTGGGAGCAGATGTGGACACCTTCAGAGTAACTCAGGGTATAAAGGGATGGTTGCTTATTTTCTGGTTGGTGAAGGTCCTTGGTTTTTAAGCCATCTTTGCTTCCTAAAATGAAATCTCAGTTCAACTTTGCCCTTATAACTAGTGTCACTTCCTCTCATATTCTGGCATTTGATTGGTTGGTTGTCTATTTTCAGTGTGGTTGTGTCTTCACCTTAATGCCACTGGTATTTTAGTGAGAAGTTTTGAGAAGCTTCAAAGGGCAGTTGCTAGTCAGACACCATAAAGATGACAAGTTTCTGTCTTCTTGAGTTTTATGTTTAAATACTTAAGCCAGGGGCGCCTGGGTGGCTCAGTTGGTTAAGTGGCTGCCTTCGGCTCAGGTCATGATCCCAGGGTCCTGGGATTGAGCCCCACATCGGGTTCCTTGCTCCGCAGGAAGCCTGCTTCTCCCTCTCCCACTCCCCCTGCTTGTGTTCCCTCTCTCGCTGTGTCTCTGTCAAATAGATAAATAAAATCTTTTAAAAAGTTTTGAAAAAAAATACTTAAGCCATCTGGAATTTATAATATATGGGGGACGTCTGATACTTTTCCCAAATTGCTAGCCAGTTATCTCAATACCATTTCAACAAATATGAGTGCCTACCAACCACTTTGTACAATATGAGAAATCATCTTTCTTAAAGACCTTAGTATTTCACCAAGCGTTAAGAGACCAATAAATATGAGCTACAACAAAGAAAGTGCTATAACATAATTATCATTAGCAGTTCATACACAGAGAGATTAAATTTTTATACAATTACAGGAAATGCCTTTTTCTAGATTCTTATAGAAAACCAGACCTGATAGGGGACAGTGGAGAGTTGGAGACAGGGGAAGGGGTTTACAGGAGTAAGGCAGTCCAGGGAGAGGAACTAGCATGATGAGCAAAAGCTGAAGTGAGAAACTGCAGGATGTCTTTGGGAAATAAGGTTAGATTATGGTGGAAGGTAAGCAGTGCTAAAGTTTATACTGTAGTTAGTAGACAGCAAAAAAACCCCACTGGCCTAGAGATGGTCTGGGGCTATAAAATGCTTTGAAGCTATACTTGAAGGTTAATTAACTTAGTACACACTTTAGATTGATTGGGGGAAAAAAATTAAGTCACAGGCTTGTTACAAAAGGTAAAGGCAGTTTATTAAAAATCAAGAAAATATATCAGGTTGTACATATGGAAGAAGTTCAATAGACTTAAGATCCTCGTTATCTCAATAAGCAGGGTTTTCATACTTATGTAGAGGTACAAACTTTTCCACAGAAGCTCATCGGTGAATAAAACCTCGTATTGTCCTCATACCCCTGTCTTAGCCTCCTCAAGGGGTCAGGCTAGAGGGCATCAAGGATAAGTATAGAGGCTACTTTAAGGCAAACAGGCTTGAGTGATGTAATATAGAAAGGGCTTTCAGTGACCCCCTGGCTGAATACAGACAGGCCCGTCAGGCAACCCACCTGAAAATATCCATAGGCCCTAACTGACCAATGGGCTTACAACCAGGCACAGTTACCAAAAAAGGGAAAATTCCGTATGTTGCCATACCTCCTCACCTTCCCTCTTTGAAAACAGCCCCCACACGGTGCAAGGGTGGCTCAGTCCATTAAGCATCAGACTCTTGATTTCAGCTCAGGTCATAATCAAAGGGTCATGAGATTGAGTCCCATGTTGGGCTCCATGCTGGGCATGGAGAGAGAATCTCTCTCTCCCTCTGCCCCCACCTCCCCCTCTAAAAACAACAACCGAAAAAACAGCCACCACCACTGCCTCCTTACACCTCCAATCACCAGGTGAATTCTTTTCACTGCCCGTGCCACCCACCAGCTTCCACCGAATCATTGCCCATTTGGGGCCCCCATCCAATCGAGAGAGACCCTACAATAAGCTGTGGAAGAAAGAGAATAAAACCCTTGGAATGAACAGAGTAGGTAGTTTTTCTCTTTCCCAGAGAATGACAGCCCTTTGGGAAAAGGGGAGGGATTATAAAAGCTAGGAAGGACTTATGGAGACATAAGGCAGTGTTGATGACTCTGAATTGCAGAGGTAGACAAGCAAAGCAGGGGACTGCCACTAACAAGTGACCCTGTGTAAGGGAGAATGTGCTATGTTGAGTTTTCTAAATCTTCTGTGTTATTTTGCCCAACTTATCATGAGACAGAGGTTCATGGCCCAGGACCTCCAACCAGAGGAAAAAGTTCACATGGCTGGAGCATGGGGGACAGAGTGCTGGGTGAAAACAAAGAACCTCTACACCCAGAACAACTGTGCCCCTGAAAGGTCAGCTGTGTTCTCTTTGAGAGTGAGTTCCCTGCTCTGATGCTTCTCTCAGATGTTCAGAAACATCCCGAGTTGGCCCTGTGCACGCTGCCCTCAGAAGTGATCACAGCTTTCCAGGAGCGCATACAGCTTCTGCAAATCAAGTTTTCTTTGATTTTGCTAATACCTCACCAATTTGTACCGAGGCTGCTTCTGAAGGCCTGACAATTTACCTGTGCATTAGGTTAAGTTTCACTATCCTCCCTTTAAAGAGTTCCAATTCTGTGTTTAGTTACAGGAGAGACAAGATGCCAGTCAAGAGGTTAAAGTTATGATAATAACCTGTATGTCAAGGCCTAGCAGTAAGAGTAGGAGTTAAGAGGCAGCAAAAACGAAAGAAGTTTGGGCACCTGGGTGGCTCAGTCAGTTGAACTTCTGACTCTTGATTTTGGCTCAGGTTGTGATCTCAGGGTTGAAAATGAGCCCAGTATGGAGCCTGCTTTAGATTCTCTCTAAAAAAGGAAAGAAGTTTTAGGAGGAAAAAAAAAAATGAAGGAATCATGAATTTAGGGTCTAAAAGGTCTTTGACACAGATGCTGAATTGTCGAGGGGTGAAAGTGCCAGGGAGGGAGTCAAACAGAAAAGCACAACCCAGGTGCTACAGACACCACCTTCCTTAGAAGGTCCTGGTCCTGGCTGGCTGCTCCGCCAGCCAGGGTTCCTTGAAATCAAGGGCCCAGGGCTGGGGCTTCTGAAGAGGTGTCTGCAGGACTCAGGGTGTTGAGGTCCTAAAAGCAGCAGAAGTCAGGCTGGTTGAGGACAGTCAGCCTCTTAAGACTGAGGCTTTATATACTAAAGTAGGAAAAGCCACAGTTTATACAGTGCCTCCCCCCAAGACTCATTCCCTTGGAGTTCTCAGCCCCTGCCCTCCCTAATAACACTAGTCATCATTCTGTGCTTTGTGCCATTCCCACAATTCCCTTATTTCTTTAAGCTGAATTCAATTTGGTGGGAAGGGGAAAAGGTGATCCTCTGGTTTCTCTGAAGTCACATTTGACAGGCCTCTAGGCCAATGTTTTGTCTTCTAGAGCTTGATGCTGAGCAGTATGAAAAGAAGGGCAGGAAGGGCTCCACTCATCTGGATCAGGAATCTCACTTCTCAGTATCTGCCCTGCAGAGTCCTGTCTTCCCAAGGCATAAATGGGCTGAAGGTGCTTCCTTCTCCCACAGCAACCGGTTTCATTTCTCCTTAATCCACAGCCTAGTCCTCTGTAAAGAAATCAGTCTGATGGAGGGGAAGAAAACTGGATTGAGGAGAAAGAAAGCAATGAAACCATTAGAGATAGAAAATTTATTATGCAAATAACTATGCAAACTGGAGCCCTGGCAAAGTGCCAGAGGACTTTCCCAATTAAGGTGCGCATCCCTGTATTATAGGTATCAAATCAGAGTAACACATCCTGGACAACAAAATGAGAATTCAGAAAACACAGTTTCTCAGAGGCCCACCAGATCTGGACTCCTTTTTGAAACACTCTAATTCAGCAGCTCTGGGCAAATATTAACTGCTTGCTGAATGCTGACTGTGACACTGGCCAACTGTTAAGGCACCAGCTGTCCCGAGGAAGAAGAGGACTATGGATGAAGAAGAGCTGCCTGGCTTCTAGGAAAGTAATAGCTGATAAGGAGAGTCAAGGAAGATCTACTTCATCACTTTAAAATCAACTTTACTAGAACTGCTACTTCTCTAGTTTAGTAGTTATTGAAATATTCACTCTGAAAGTAGCATGCCTTAATTCCCTTTCACTGTATCATAAATTCTTCCAATACTGTTAGTACTCACTACTGCTATTGTTATCTCATTATTAAACTCTTTTGATACTCCTTGAATTGTACAAGCATACAAAACAGGACTTTTCTGCTAAGTTTTTACAGTATTTACATGTCTTGAAAAACAACACTGTATCGAAGTATCTAAGTAAAAAGATGGAGTTTCTGTATGATTATAGCACTTGGGGGGCAGTTCACCTTCTAGTTGATTTTTTTAGACTCAGTGTAATAGTTCAAACAATGCTAACTGATACAGTAAGGAGATCATAAGAAAATACTAGTCTAGCAGTACTAGATTATATCCTAGTGGTTAAAAAGAATTTCACACTGCACCCTAAGAATACATTGAATGGGTTCAAAAGTAAAATAGTTCTCTCGTTTGTTTGTTTAATTGTTTACTTTAGTGAACAGAGCCTTGTCTACAGGCCTGAAGGATCTCTAGAGATCTAATGTGAAAAGAGTCAATGTTATCAAATGACAATTATTCAATGAACTCCCCCCCATATACAAATGACAATTATTCAGTGAACTCCCCCCCCCATATACTCCTAGCTGCTGGAACCCAGAAATGCTTGGGTGTATTCCTCTCCTTGGATATGTACAAGTTACAAAGTACTTCTTTGTTTTTGTCTCACTGGTGAGGGGCAAAGTAAAAAATGTGGCAGAAGAAGGCTTGGCCTTGATTAGTGATACCAGAAAATCCAAGACCTTTTCTCTGAGCTGGGAGAACACACTAGTAAGATCACAAAAGGATACATGTAAGTTGGGATGCCTTTTGCAGCCAAGTGTTTCCGAATCAGTCGCTCAGTACCATACCAGTTAAAACCTTTTGTGGCATGTCCAATGCGTGGTAGATGAACACTTGCTGTTAAAGAGGAAACAAATAGATTATGATGTCTTCATTCATCAAAAACTTGATTCAGTATAAAATATACATAAAACTATACTCTTAGTCACTTTGTGGTTTCCAACAGACAAAATGTACATAATCATGGGGTATCCCACACAAAGCATAAAATTACAATGTTAAAAATATTCTGGGGTAGGACTATAATAGGAAAAATTAAGTAATTCTATTAAACACAAAGACCTACAGGCTCTGGAAATAAGCAGGTACAATGAAAATAGAATATGATCAATGTTGGAGATAAAAAACCCTTTTTTTTTTTTTTTTTTTTAAGAGAGAGGGAGGAGGGAAGGGGGAGAGAGATAATCTGAAGGAGGCTCCATGCTCAGTGCAGAGCCGGAGGCGGGGCTCGATCTCACAACCCTGAGCTCATGACCTATGCTGAAATTAAGAGTCAGGCACTTAAAACTGACTGACCCACCCAGGCGCCCCAAAATAAACAGATTCTTTAACAAGTCAATCAGTTCAACAAATTCTGAGTTTTATTTGGAAATAAAACTTTTGGCAGAGAACTGTGGCTTGGGTGCGGCTATCCAAGAGGGGAAGAGTTAGGATAAACAGCATTCCCCAATTGCATCTGACCAGATTACTACATCTCTGGTCTTCTGCTTCCTCATCTGTAAAATCATGACACAAACACCCCAGTGCAGGGAGATGGTCCACAGAGATAATGAAAGTGATCTGGAAAGAAAAACAAGATGATCAAGATGGTGTGGTCCACTTGTGTGGTCTCTCATATGGGGCCTTACCTTTACCATATATATTAACATTTCTCACCATCATGGAACACTACATCAAAAACTAATGATGTAATGTATGGTGATTAACATAACATAAAAAAAAAAATCCTATCACATGCCTGGAAACAGAAAGTCATCTCCTGAAAAGCTTACCTTTCTTTCTCTTTGCTGCTAAATAGATCTTCTTCAGGCCCTCTTCCAGGGCTGCCATCTTAATGCCAGACAGGACATTGGAGCGATCACGGTGCTGAGCCACAATCAAGGCCAACTAGGAGGAACAGCCATCACATGGTTGACATGACCTGAGAAGGCTGCACTGTCAACTAAGTGACCTGCCCACGGAGGGGCTTCGTCTCCATCTTCTTTGGAGGCTCTGCCTGAACCACGTCCTACCAAATTCATGACTTAATCTTCTATTGTAATTGTTTTATTTTGTGGTAACTTTATACACAAGCATTTCTTCTTCATTTTAAGGTATGTTAAAACCAGCGTCCAAAACATGCTGTCTTTCCTAAGTGCGCTCAATGGTAAAGAAAGCATTTTTCAGTCTTAGGAGCAGAAAGGACTTTACAGGTTCCTGTATCCCGCCCTCTGGCTGATGCTTGAATCAGCTCCCAACCCCCATCCCATCTCTGTCCTAACCTAAGTAGGGGAGACTGGAGAGAGTGTCAAGGGAGCGTCTGGGACTGACATCCCTACCACCATATGGTAACCAGTTGTAAACAGTTTTCTTGAGTCACTGGATTCTGAGCATCTGTGCCATAACCACTGTGTTGTTTACATTTTTTAGCATTTTAGAAATGACTGAAAAAATGAGCAGGCAGAAGCCACTTTGCTGTCAGCCACACAGACCACCAACCTCAAGAAAATATGTCCCTTTCAGTCCAGTTTCTAAATTTCTAAGTCAGTAAGATTTGGCTCTAAATTGAATATGAATTCAGGCCCTTGAGAAAGTCAGGTTAAGTGTGGTTAATAAAACATCTTAGAGGAATTCTAGAGGACTGGTAAGTTAAGAGACACTTCAGATGCAAAAGGAGAATTTTTTTTTTTTTTGAAAGAGAAAGCCTGAGTGGGGGGTGGGGCAGAGGGAGAGAATCTTAAGCAGGCTCCACGCTCAGCACAGAGCCCATTGCAGGGCTCAATCTCAGGACTCTTGAGATCATGACCTGAGCGGAAATCAAGAGTCGGATGCTTAACTGACTGAGCCATGCAGGTGCCCCCAAAGGAGAACTTTAATACAGGCAGAGGAACTATGGATCGGCTCCTTTCCTCTGCTTATGGCTGGCTACTAAACACAATCTTTTACACAACTTTTCACATAGTAAATGATGAAATGCTTGGAGTTCTGAGTAATGTTTTCTTATTCAGTGTTTCCTGAGCATTTTCTATAAGCTGGTACTGTGTGAGGTATTGAGGATAAAATGACAGGATGGAGGAGCCTGCCTAAGGTCTGTGCAGACAACAAGCAAGTTAGAGGACAGTGTTCCAGGGGCTGTGATGGACAGAAGCAAGGAGGATGGAGGGAGTGTGGTGGAGTGTGAGGCCCAACCTGCTTGTTATGGGTTGAATTGGGTCCTCTCAAATTCCTATGTTGAAGTCCTAACCCTCAGTACTTTAGAATGTGACTTTCTGTGCAGACAGGCCTTTTAAAGAAGAAAATAAATTAAAATGAGGCCATTAGGGTGGTGCCTGATCCAGTCTGACTTCTGTGCTTACAGGAAGAAATATGGACATAGACTGAGACACTAGTGATGCACACACAGAGAGGAAAGACCGTGTGAGGAAACATACAGGTGGCCACCCCTAAGCCAAGGAGAGAGGCTTCAGAGGAAATCAACCCGGCCGGCACCTTAATCTTGGACCAGTAGCTTCCAGAACTGTGAAGAAATTCATCTGTTTTCTAAGCCACCTAGTTGGTGGTGTTTTATAACCAACTATAGAAATGATCTCTGAAAGTATAGTGTTGGTGGTGTTTTATTATGACAGCCCAAGCAACTAGAGGCCAGCAGGAACAGGAGAGGTTTTAGGAGGAGGTGATGTGAGCCAAAATTTAGGTCTGATAAGAGGTGTTTTTTTACTTACCAAATCTTGCCCTTTGTTTCTTGACTCTTTATCGTCAATAGGAAATAAAAGGACGTCTCCCAAATTCAAGTCTGAGGTAAAATAAAAGAGCAATAGACAGAAGGTGAGGTTCACTCTGGACTGAGACCCCCGAAGAGGGACTCTTGTGAATGCCCCAACTCCTTTCCTTTTTGGCCAATCAGGTTGCAATCTCACTTTTTTTCACTTAGCTTCAGTCACTGCCTTTGCCAGGCACTCACATGATCCACTCCTGAGGGGGTGATTTTGGCTCAAAAACTTTCATTTTTTAAATGTTTTATTGTGGTAAAATATACCTAACATAAAATTTACCATTGTAACCATTTTTAAGCTCACAGCTCAGTAGCATCAAGTACCATCACACTGCTATGCAATCAATCTCCACAACTCTCTTCACCTTGCAAAACTGACACTCCATACTCATTAAACATCTTCTCCCCATCTCCCCTACAACCACCACTCTTACTTTCTACCTCTGTGAATCTACTGGAGTTACTTCGTCTAAGTGGGTTCACACAATACTTTTTTTTTTTTTTTTTTTTTTTGGTGACTGGCTTATTTTACTTGGCATAATGTCCCCAGGATTCATCCATGTTGTAGCATGTGTCAGAATTTCCTGGTTTCCAAGGCTGAATAATAGCTCACTGTGTACCGCACTGCTTATCTATCCATCCATCAGACACTGGGGTAGCTCCCACCTTTAGGCCATTGTGAATAATGCAGGATGGGTATACAAATATCTGTTTGAGTCCCTGCCTACAGTTCTTACAAGAGGGATTGATGGATCATATGGTAACTTTATTCTTAATTTTTTCAGGAAACACCATACTATTTTCCATAGCAGCTCCATCATTTTACATTCACACCATCATCACAAGTGTTCTAATTTCTCCACATCCTCACAAACATTTGTTATTGTCTATTTTTTTATTGAGGTTAACTGACATAACACTGTGTAAGTTTAAGGTGTACAGCACATTGATTTTCACATTTATACTGCAACACAGTCAACTCTGTAGCATGAGCTAACATCGCAATCACATCCCATAACTGTCACTCCTTCTAGTGCTGGGAACAATTAACGACCTAGTCTCTTAGCAATTTTAAGGTTTACAATAAAGTTCTGTTGTCTGTAGTCCCTGCACTGTGTACGGACCTCTAGGACTTATTTATCTCCTAAGTGCAATTATGTACCCTTAAACATTATCTCTACCATTTCTGCCACCCCAGCCCCTGGTAACCACCATTTCATTCTCATTTTTGTTTTTTTTTTTTTTAGTTTCAGATTCCACATTAAGGGATGTGTGTGTGTGTGTGTGTGTGTGTGTGTGTATACACATCTTCTTCATCCATTCATTTGTTGACAGACACTTGTTTCTATATCTTGGCTCTTGTGAATAATGCAGAAATCAACAAGGGAGTGCAGATATCTCTTTGATAACCTGTTTTCATTTCCTTTGAATATATACCCAAAAATGGGATTACTGGATCATATGATAGCTCTAATTGTAATTTTTTGAGGAACCTCTATACTGTTTTCCATAGTGACTGCACCAGTTTGCATTCCCACCAACTGTGTATCACAGTTCTTCTCTCTACATCCTCATCAATACTTATTATCTCTTTTCTTCTTGATGATAATAACCATCCTGACAGGTGTGAGGTCATATTTCATTGTAGTTTTGATTGGCATTTCCCTGATGATTACTGATGTTGAGCATCTTTTCATGTCCCAGTTGGCCATCTGTACATCTTCTTTGGAAGAATTAATCGGACTTTTTTTTCTGTTGAGTTGTCCAAGTTCTTTATAAATGTTGAACAGTAACCTCTCATCCAATATATGGTTTTCAAATATTCTCTTCCTTTCTGTAGGTTGCCTTTCCATTTTGTTTTTTCTTTTGAAGTGCAGAAGCTTTTAAGTTTGATGCTGTCCCACTTACTGATTTTTGTCCTTTACTCTTTTTTGGGGGGGGCTTCAGATTTATTTATTTTTATTATGCTATGTTAATCACCATACATTACATCATTAGTTTTTGATGTAGTGTTCCATGATTCACTGTTTGCGTATAACACCCAATGCTTCATTCAGTATGTGCCCTCTTTAATACCCATCACCAGGCTAACCCATCTCTCCACACTTCTCTCCTCTAGAACCCTCAGTTTGTTTCTCAGAGTCCATAGTCTCTCACGGTTCGTCTCCTCCTCCGATTTCCCCCCTTCATTTTTCCCTTCCTGCTATCTTCTTCTTCTTTTTTAAACATATAATGTATTATTTGTTTCAGAAGTACAGATCTGTGATTCAACAGTCTTGCACAATTCACAGCACTCACCATAGCACATACCCTCCCCAATGTCTATCACCCAGCCACCCCATCCCTCCCACCCCCCACCACTCCAGCAACCCTCAGTTTGTTTCCTGAGATTAAGAATTCCTCCTATCAGTGAGGTCATAGGATACATGTCTTTCTTGGTTTCTCTTCAGATCGCATAAATCTTTCACTTTTTTTCCTTTACTTTTGTTCTTTTGGTGTCCTCCCCAAAAAATTACCCCCAAAGCCAATCTCAAGGAATTTCTTCCCTCGTTTTCTTCTAGGAGTTTTATGGCATCAGGTCTTATGTTTAAGTCTTTGATCCATTTTGAGGTAATTTTTGTGAGTGCAGTAAGGTAGGGGTCCCAATTTCATTTTCCTGCATGTGGCTATCCAGTTTTCCCAACATCATTTGCCGAAAAGACTACATTTTCCCTATTGGATGTTCCTGGCTCCTTTATCAAATATCAGTTGGCAATGTATGTAGAGGTTTAATTCTGGGGTCTTGTATTCTGTTCCACTGATCTACATGTCTTTTTTTATGCTGGTACCATACGGTTTTAATTATTATCACTTTGTAGGATAGTTTGAAATCAGGAAGTGTGATGCCTCCTGCTTTGTTCTTCTTTCTAATGACTGCTTTGGCTATTCAAGGTCTTTTTTGGTTTCATTCAAATTTTAGGATTTATTCTATTGCTGTAGAAAATGCTACTGGACTTTTGATAGGGATTGCATTAAATCCAGAGATGGCTTTGTGGAGCATGACCATTTTAATGATATTTCACAATCACTGATCAGAAAAGTTAATATCTTTTCAATTGTTTATGTCTTCCTCAATTTCTTTAAACAAAGTTTTGTAATTTTGATTGTCTAAATCTTTTACTTCCTTGGTTAAACTAATTCTTAGATATTTTATTGTGTTTGATGTTACAGTGAATGGATAGTTTTCTTCATTTCTTTTTCAGATGTTTCACTGCTAGTGCATAGAGAAGGAACTGATTTCTGTATGTTGGTTTTAGATCCTGCAACTTTACTGAATTCATTGATTACATCCAATAGTTCTTTTTCCAATTGATTAAATCTGATATATTGAGAATTTGGGATTTTCAATATACAAGATCACATCATCTGCAAATAATGACAATTTTACTTTTTCCTCTCTGATTTGGATACCTTTTAATTTGTCTTGCCTGAATGCTCTAGCTAGGACTGCCGGTATTATGTTAAATAAGAAGGAGGAGAATAGGCAGGCACCCCTGTCTTGTTCCTGATTTTAGAGGAAAAGCTTTGATTTTTCTCTGTTGAATACAGTATTAACCGTGGGTAACATATATGGCTTTTATTATGTTGATGTTATGTTCCTCCTACACTTATTCTATTGAGGGTTTTTATCATGAAAGGATGTTGTATTTTGTCAATGCTTTTACTTCATCTGTTGAGAAGTTTAATGATTTTTGTCTTTCATTCTATCACATTTGATTTGCATATGATGAACTATCCCTGCACCCCAGGGAGAAATCCCACTTGGTCATGGTGTGTAATCCTTTTAATGAGTTCTTAGGTTTGGTTTGCTAATATTTTTTTGAGAATTTTTGCTTCTATATTCATCAGGATACTGGTCTACAGTTTTCTTTTAATATCCTTACCTGGCTTTGGTATCAGGGTAATACTGGCCTCACAGAATGAGTTTGAAAGTGTTCCCGCCCCTTCAATTTTTCTGGAGGAGTTTGAGAAGGGTTGGCATTAATTCTTCTTAAAATGTTTGGTAAAACTCGTCCATGAAGCTATCTGGTCCTGGAAGGTTTTTAAAACCTGAGTCAATCTCCTAACTCATAATCAGTCTGTTCAAACTTTATATATCTTCTCCTGGTTCAGTCTTAGTAGGTTGTAGGACTATGAAATTTATCCATTTTTTTTTAGATTATCTAATTTGTTGGTGTAAAATTGTTCATAGTAGTGACTTATGATCTTAATGTTTTTCTGCAGTGTCAGCTGTAATTTCTCCTCTTTCATTTCTAACTTTGAGTCTTCTTTTTTCTTAGTCTTGTGAAAGGTTTGTCAATTTTATCTTTTCAAAAAACCAGTTTGTAAGTCACTGATCTCTAATGATTTATTTATTTCAGATCTCTTAATTATTTTAGATCTCATCTTTATTTCCTTCCTTCTGCTAACTTTGGGCTTACTTTGCTCTTCTTTTTTTAGTTTCTGTGGTATAAAGTTAGGCTGTTTATTTGAAATATCCTTTCTTAACATAAGCATTTATTGCTATCAACTTCCCTGATGGAAATGCTTTTGCAGCATCCATCAGTGTTTTGGTATGTTGTGTTCCCATGTGTTTTGAGATATTCTTTGGTCTGCCTTTTGACTTCTTGACTCACTGGTTGTTCAGGAGTGTGCTGTTTAGTTTCCACATATTTGGAGATTTTCTAACTTTCCTCATTAAAAATTTCTACTTTCATACCACTGTGGTTGGAAAGGATACTTGGTATTATTTCAGTCTTATTTTGCTATGACCTGTTTTGTGTTCTATTCTTGAAAACGTTCGTGTACTTGAGAAAAATGTGTATTCTGCTGCTGTTGGATGAAATTTTCTATAGACGTCTATTAGGTCAATTTGATGTACTATTTGGTCCAAGTCTATCTCCTTGTTGCTTCTCTCTCTGCATGATCTGTGCATTGCTGAAAGTGATATATCAAAGTCCCCTACTATTATTGCATTGTTGTCTATTTCTCCCTTCATATCTATTTGTTTTAATATATTTAGGTGCTCTGATGTTGGGTGAATATATACTGTTGTTATACCTTCTTGATGCATTGATCACTTTATCATTATATAATGACTTTGTCTCTTGCTACCGTTTAGGTTTAAAGTCTACTTTGTCTGATGCAAGGACAGCCACCCCCTCCCTTTCTTTAGTTCCCACCTGCATAGGTTATCTTTCTTCATCCCTTCGCTTTGAATCTATATGTGTTTTTAAGGCTCAAGTTGGTCTCTCAGAGGCAGCAAATAGCTGTGTCCTTTTTGTTTTTTCCATCAGCCACTGTGCTTTTTGCTCGGTGAATTCAGGCAAATTCCAATGTATTTCCATTGTTTCTTTTTCCCTCTGTTTCTGTCTACCTTCATAAACTGGTTATTTTCTGTGGTGGTATGCTCCATTTCCTCTGTCTCTTGTGGATCCACTCTAGGTTTTTGTTATGTTGTTACCATAAAACACCTTACAGATAAAACAGTCCATCTTAAGCTGACAGCAACTTGTGTTCAATCACCTATTAAGAGGCTCTCCCTTTTATTCCTTTTTACCTCTTTTTATGTTGTGTATTCATTAATGGTTCTTTTTACTGTTCTTTTCCTTTAACCTTCACACTGGAGTTGAGTGGTTAATGCACCATCCTAATATAGACTAGTTACCTAACTCTATCTTTCACCTTTACTAGTGTGTTGTGTACTTCCATGTTTTCATGGTAACGATCAGTACCTTTTCATTTCGGCTTGAAGAACTCCTTTCAGCGTCTTGCAAGGCAGGTCTAGTGGTAGTGAAGTCCCTCAGCTTCTGTCTGGGGTATCTTATCTGCAAGATAACTTGGCCAGATACAGTATCCTCAGTTGGCAGTCCTTATCTTTCCCGACACCGAATATGTCGTTCCACTCTCTCCTGGCCTGTAGTTTCTGCTGAGAAGTCTGCTGTCAGCCTAATGAGGGTCCTTTCTAGGTTATGTTCTTTTCCTCCCTGGCTTCTTTTTCACTGATTTTTCAGTTTCATTATCATGTGCCTTGGGAAGGCCTTTCTCCATTGAGATAATGGGGTGATCTATTAGCTTTGTGGACTTAATGTGTTCCAGTCTTTCCCCAGGTTTCGGCCATTCTCAGCTATCATTTCTTTAAATGAACTCTGCCCTCTTCTCCCTCTCTTCCTTTTCTAGAAGCCTACTTACTCTGATATTTGTCTTACTCTGATAGTTGTCTTTCTGATCCAATCCCACAGCTCTTCCTTAATCTCTATTCTTTCATCTCTTCTGTGTTATTTCAAAACTCCCATCCTCCAAGTCATTTATTCTTTCTTCCATATGGTCTGCCCTGCTACAGCTGCTCTCTATTGTAGTCTCCACCTCATTCATCAAATTCTTCAGCTCCAGAATTTGTTTGGTTCTCTTCTACAGAACAGAACTCATTCTGTTCATGTTTTACTCCTGATTTCAATGAAATTGCCTTTTAATAAAAGTTTTCCTGCAACTCATTGGGTTTATTCATAACTGCTATTCTGAATTCTTTATCAGATTGCAATATTCTGTGCCTCTGAGCTCGGTTGCTGGAGAACTGTCATTTTCTTTCTGTGATGCCATATGTCCTTGATTATTCACATTCCTCATAGTCATGCCCTGCTGCTTTTGCATTTGAAGTAGGAGATACCTCCTTAGCTCTGTGCTCACTGCTTTCAGCAGACGGTTTTATGTTCTGTGGTACTGTCACTGAGTTATTCCTTGTGTTTTTGAGGTATACCTGCTCCACGCTTCTTGCTCTCTTGGGGCCAAATTTTTAAGCCTTTGTGTCATCTCTGGATGTTATAATTCACCAGGCTGCCTCTTGGAAACAGCATTCTAGAAGAGCTATATATAGCTCAGGTTTGTGGTTTTTTCCTTGACCAATGACCAAGGCCTGTTCTGAGTGTGCTCCCTGTCTACCAGAGCTCGCTCTCACACACACATTTGGGAGCCTGCACAAACAGGTGGCAGCAGAGTCAGAGGATGTGGTGGTTTAGCACTAAGGGTTTTGTGGGAGCCTGTGGACCCAGTAGGGAGATCCTGGGTGTGGTACTCCCAGAGACTGTGGCTGAGCTTCCTGTTGAGCACAAACCCTCTGACACCATATGAAATTCGGATCTACCTCCTCCCAGTCACAGAACTCCCACCTTAGTACTGTGGGTGCTGGCAGAGGAAAATGGGTTTCTCCAGCTGTGTTCCATCTGCCTGGGACAGCCAGGAGTTTACTCACCACTTTCCTTTCCCCCCACAGGAGAGATCACCTCCACCAACTACATCAGTCCATTCAGTGTTTCCCTGGGGAGAGGCAGCAGCAGGAGAGTTTCTCTTACCACCTCCACTGCGACCAACTCCTATTTTTGTTTTTCTCGTCTGTCTTCTCCAGTGGTATCCTGAAGTCTTCCCGCAGGAAGGCTGGATTTCTGAGTTCTGTCTCATGCATGAGTACCTGCCTGGTGAGCACTCATCCGATTTTTCCCTGACGGTGGCAAGAGGGGGTCTAGGCAGTTGTGCTGGCTCTGTAGCCTGCATGGAGGTCTGTCTGTCTCTTATGGGTGGCAGTGGTGGGCAAGCCTCCTCTCAGGTCCTTTGGAGTAGGTGCTAGGTCCCAAAAGACCCACCAACATGCCTTTGTTTGTGTATGGATGTCTAATTCGATCAAAAGGGGGGGATAAAAAGGCAGAATGTCTTATACCACCGATGTTGCTGATGTCATCCTCTTCACTTCTGAATTTTTATGATCTCCCAGTTCAATGTCCCTTACATATTACCTACAAAGTACTCCTGCAGGTACTGGAGAGTGAATGCAAACCCAGATCATCTGGGGATGGGAAGGGGAGGGCATTATGAACTTAAAATTTCTTCAGAAGTCTTAAGTTTGTTTTAAACCATTCACACACCGCACTCTATCCGCATCTATTTGTACATTTTTCTAACTCATCCAAGTCAAACCAAACTAATGCTCTAGAAAAATGTGCTAAAATAATTATATGGCTTTACACACTTCAGTTTGAACCTTTTATTCCCTCAGTCCATCCTACACACACCAATCTTTTAAGTCATTCTAAAATACTGGCTCTGTTGGGCCATTCTTCTATTCAAACTCCCAAATGACTAGCCATTACCCACTGGATAAGGTCCTGCTTAGAATGGCATCTCCCTGGACAAGCCACGTACAGTCTTCTATACCGTGGTCCATATCCTCCCTCTCTTTAAAATCAAACTTTCCTCTCTTCCTCAGCCTCAACCCTGTACTCTGGCCTGCCTGGCCTACACACCATTCCCTAAATACATTCCCTGTATGACTGCCTAGGTCATTCAACACCCTGTCCTGGGAATGACAGAAGTTGAGGGAATACCAAAAAGCACGAGAGACAGTCATGGATCGTTTTCCATTTCTCACCACTCACTTAAATTCAACCCATCTTTCCAGGCCCAAGAGTACTTTCCCCACCTCCATGAAGCCCTCCCTGGTAATTTCTAGCCCACACTTTCATCTACCCAGCTCTACCCTATTTCAGTTCTTCTTCAGAAGACTGCACACTCTCAGCCCTGTTTCCTTACTGATTACTCATACGCCTTAACTCTGTGCAACCAAGGTTTAGTCTTCACACTCTCCTCAAAGTACTCTAAAGTCATGCAAATCCAATGACCTTTTCCCAGTTCTCATCCTCACTTCGGTGCCTGACAATGCAGACCACTTCTTGACACCTTTTCCTCCTTTATACTTCAAAATATTATATTCTCAAGGTCCTCTTAGCTGACAATTCCTTGTCTACCCTTCTTGCTGCTGTTCCTAAGTGGAGGTGTTTTCCATGTTCTGTTTTCTGCCCTCTCATTTCCCCATCCTGCCTCCCTCACATTTTCAAACAAGGATCCAAACAGGCATTCCTCGGTCTTCATTTCTAGTTCTGACCTCTCCTGAATTCTCTGCTTTTCCAACCGCCCAATCAATAGCTAGATCTCAGTTATTTTAACCTGTTAAACCTTTCTGTCATTGATCTATCTTAGTAGAAAGAGTATTCCTTCTAAGTCCTTATATCCCTTTCCACCCTAGAGAACTAGGCAGAAGAGTTAGGAAAAAACCAATCTCTGAGGAATCTGAAGGGCCCTTCTCTATTGAACAAGGTCCCTTGGCCTCTCAAGTCCCCAGAAAATAATCACAATAATAATTTTACTCCTCTTGTTATTTTGTGATTTCTGCACGTAAAAGAAGGTGCCCTTTCTCCTTCTCCATGCCAAGGGAGGATACTTCCAGACTTCCAAGCTCCTTTGGCCCTAAGCACCTTTACTTCTGCCTCCGGGGAGTACTGTATCTCAGCCTACGCTAACCTCATAAAACAATCTCTTCCTCTTCAACACCCAACCCCAGCTCTTGTTAGCACTTTAATGGCAGGTCTGATTTCTCTCCCACAGGTCTCTGACATTTTCGAGAAATATTCCCTCATGAAGATGGGGTGAGTTGGTCGCGGTGGAGGTAAACAATGAAACGCTCTTCATGCCAATACTTAAACATGCACAGAGGGATTGACATTTATCAGAATACTTGCATTTCCACTATCCTCATTAGAGTCCCATGAGGTAGGTGGAATAAGTATTATTCACAAATTACAGATGAGAAAATAGGCACTGGGAGGGTAAGGGACTGCCTCAAAGTCACATAACTAATTAAATGATGACAAAACTAGCTAATGAGACCCCCAACTAGCTCTAACTCCTTAATTAGTGCTTCATAACCCACGTGATACCTGTCCTAAGTGTCCTCTCCTCTTGTATTCCATCCTCACCCTTTTTCTCTGCTTTGCTTCTTACCTTTCATTTTCCCAGCCAGCTCATATATTTTTCTTGGCTCAGCAGATCGTGTTTCCAAAGCTGTGAATAAACCACCTCTGCCCCAGCGACCAGAGTCATCTGAGAGAAGAAAAAATTTTCATTTATAGGAGGCAAAGTCCAGCCCACAATTCGAAAACACAAAGGTATGCCAACTAGATTTGTAGAGGATGAATTTTCAAAGGGAAGAAACACCTATGTAGCCTCCCAGGAATATCATAGGTTGGACTTCTCAAAAATGTTTAGGTTTTATGGAATATACATTGCTAACCTAATAGGAAAGGTGGAGAGTAGACATAACGTAACAAATAGCTCAAGCATATTAAAGAGGGCACATTCTGCATGGAGCACTGGGTGTTATACGCAAACAATGAATCATGGAACACTACATCAAAACTAATGATGTAATGTCTGGTGACTAATGTAACAATAAAAAAACAAAAAAACAAACAGCTCAAGCACTGGTAATACAACAGCATACAACTCCCATTTTACAGGTAAGGAAGAAAAAGGTTAAATGACTTATTTGAGCTGCTACTAACACGGCTGGTTAGTACCTTCTATTGACAGTCATGCACTCATTCTACAAATATTTGTTAGATGTATTACACGTCAGACACTGCTCTAGGCACCAGAGTCACAGCAGTGGACAACAACAAGAAACGGCTCCCATGAAGTTTATGAGACAATCACATAAACAAATACATACATAATACGTCAGGGTGGTGATACGTGTAATAAAGTAAACTCAGGTAGGAAAAGGAGGAGAGAATAATAGAGGCATGGGGGTGGGGTCTGTTTTACACGAGGCACTCAGGGGACACCTCTCTGAGATGCAGACACCTGAACAATGCTTAATGTGGCCATCTGTGGAAAGAGGGTTCCAGGCAGAGGAAGTAAAAAGTACAAAGATCGTGGAAGCAGGGAGAACATGCTGGCAGTTTTGCTTTTTCTAAAAGCTTTGTCTTATATATGTTGCCTCCTTTCACCCTCTTAAAAAAACTTGTGCAGAGAATAGGGAATTACCCAATTATACACAAGCAGGTAAATGAGAGCACCAAGAGTCAAATCTGTATCTCTGGATTCTCAAATTTGCCTTTTTTTGACCACAGGACCGCGCTGGCTCATCAGTCATCCCTGGGTCAGACTTCTGCCTCCTCCCTAGTTCTTAGCATCATAAAGGACAAGGCACCCACCCTGGGCCAGTACCACTCCTCCTACCTACGCAGTGCACGATGACAGCATCCTCTGCCCCAGCCTGTGGGTGGGTGACATCACCGCTAACATACTTGATGGCACTTGAATCTGGATCTTCATAATCCAGCTGGGCAGAGCTCTCCTCTTCCCTGTCCTCTAGGTCCTCCGGTTCGCTCTCCTCAGAAGGCAGGCAGAAGGACTGGTAATTGTTGGACTCCCACCAGGCCGTCCTTCAACAGGCCAGAGAGAACAGGAAATTAACCTGGCCTATCACAATTTCTCTTGGCGCACACTTCATCCTGCTATTCACAAATAGCAAGTGCCCAGTGGAAGTGCAATTAGACAGTCACCCTGATTGCAGTTTTCTGCCTATTTGTAAATCAACAAGAAGTCTTACTAATGAGTCTAGCTGCCTCCTGACTCTACTTTAATAATGAGCAGCCATCGGATGTCCCTGTTTTTAAGAACAAGATTAAGGTACTGTTCAAGTGAACTAACTCTGTCAGGCAGCGACAATAAAACCTTAACATTTTCCCGCTTCAGCTGAATGAGTCTCTCTACCTTAGGCATTCAGGCCTTTTTACAAAAGTACGCTGTTAGGGTTAAAGCTCAATCTTTAAAAAAAAACATTCTCTTACCAGAAGGAGCTACCAGTTTTATAGAAGTTTTCTGCAATTTTAAAGCGTTCAACTGTGGACGCAGTATACAATAGTGATTCCTTTAAACGTGACCCTCATCAGCTTTATAATAATATAATCAACTAAGACACACATACTTTTTCTCGTGTTCTGCTTCTTCCTTTTTCCTCTTCTTCTCCTCCATTAGTCTCTTTCTCTTGGCTGCTGCTTCTTGTCTCTTCTTCCTTCTGTCCTCCAGTTCCTCTGGGCTCAGAATCCACTTCCTCTTGGTAGACCCTTCCGCAAGGCCTGGGAGGAGAACCTTTAGGAAGAACAAGATCTATAACCACGAAGGTTGGGGGCTGCCTGTCCCTTCATGAGTTTCATTCATCCTTAAAACACATTCTGTGTGGGGCCCCTGGGTGGCTCAGTCGTTAAGCGTCTGCCTTCGGCTCAGGTCATGGTCTCGGGGTCCTGGGATGGAGCCCCGCATCGGGCTCCCTGCTCGGCGGGAAGCCTGTTTCTCCCTCTCCCACTCCCCCTGCTGGTGTTCCCTCTCTCGCTGTGTCTGTCAAATAAGTCAACAAAATCTTTAAAAAACAAAACAAAACAAAACACATTCTATGTGAAAGCAACACACTTAATATTTCACAAAACTGCATCTCCCTGCCCCCTTGTGTGGTGGGAAGTGGTGGCAAGACACTTCAATTTACTGTTCACATTACACATCGTCACTGGCCTGGTGATCAGGATATTGTGTGTGCTCTAAGCTCAACCAAACTCAACTCATGGTTGGTAAAGCAGTACATCATCTGATTAATTTCAATAGGATCAGATACTTCAGAAAAGTAATTTTTTTTAAGAGAAAGCATACCCTCCAAGAGCCCATTTTAGGTTTAACCATTTTTATTTTTTATTTTTTTAAAAGATTTTATTTATTTATTTGTCAGAGTGAGAGAGAGAGAGAGCACAAGCAGGGGGAGAGGCAGAGGCAGAGAGAGAAGCAGACTCCCCGCTGAGCAGGCAGCCCGATGCGGGACTCGATCCCAAGACCCTGGGATCATGATGTGAGCCAAAGGCAGATGCTTACCTGACTGAGCCACGCAGGGGCCCCAGTTTAACCATTTTTAAAGCAAATCCTCCTACAGTGTATTATATAATTCCTTCTCAAACAGAGTATTTCACCATCATGATTATCTTAACAATAGCAAGCATTTAATGAGCACATACTAAGTGCCAAATACCAAGAACATTATATACATCGTTCATGACTGCCACCCTCTGTTAGTGACACAGGGTCAAATTACCAGGAGCAGGGTGTGGTATTTTGGTGATCCCTTCTGGGATGGCTAAGATGGACAGGGCTGCTTTCACCTGCATTAAGTGGTAAAATACACTCTTCCTGTTAATGTTATTTATGCGAACTTTTACACAGATTTCATACTAGAGTACAGTTAATTATATTTCAACAAATGTCTACATACTTATTTCTCAATAAATCACTCCCAGCATCATTTTTTGTTCTCTTAGGATGCAAATTTGGGAGAATTTATTCTTTTACACAAATTAATAGTCCTTACACTGCTTTTATTTCGGAGTAACCGGCCCTCTTGCGTAGTTTTCTCCAAAAGGGTTTTCTGAAGGTTCACCAGTTGCTCAAAGGATTTTCTATCTTCTTTACTAGGCTCCTTGGAATAATCTTTACCCTCAAATAAGTACATATGGTTTTCTAAAAACATAAAACACAAAAGAGAAATGTCAGATACTAGAGAAAAATGGATTAATTCTATTCAAAGCGATAAGGGCAAAGAGAACAGTTTGTATTCCAAATGGGCTAAGGCTAGCTTGTGATGAAGGTACTGATTCTGGATTCCACGAACACTGATAGGTGGGAATCTCACACATTTACTGTTTAAAGGAGAGGGCGTGGCTAATGCCCTCTGGTCCACCTCTAGCTGGTCTGCAAGTCTCGGCTGGATACCTCCACCCTGTTGAATCTTGGGATCACTCATCACCGATTCCACACTACTAGTCTCACTGATATTAAGATCACTTAATGAAAGATACCTGAGAACATAATTTTTTTATTCTGCACATACTTAATACTCAACTCTCTCCCCCCTTTTCTGTAATATTAAAGGAACAAGTGGCAAATCTATGAGAAAATGGAGAATCACAAAAATAATTCCTGTGATTTATAATATTCTTTTCAGATCTCATGAAGTATCTTTATGAGCCTCCCCACAATCCTGGTATAACTAACCCCACTGAAGAAAGGGAGAAATGAGGCTCAGACAGGGGATTAAGGGACTCCCCAGTTCTCACTGCTAATAAATGAAGGCAGGATTTTGACTCAAAAGCCTGCATGCTCTTTCCAGAGCATTCCTGTGTCTGTAGAAGGATGGAGAGTGAACAGACCAGCACATACTAATTATGGTAATAATAATAATGATAATAATGTAATCTTGATAGTATTTTATGCTATCGGAACACTTTCACATCTATTATCACATTTAATTTTTCAACTATTTAAAAGAGTAAAGCAGACATTAACAGCACGATTTTATAGATGAGGACACAAAGGCTGAAAGGTTGGGTGATGTGCCAAGATCATGAATCAGTGGTAAAGAGAAGTCATGACAAGCCAAGATCAACAACCACAGAGAGGTGACATAATGATTCTAAAGTGAAGCGTATTTAATAGCACACACTACCAAAGAATGTATTTTCACAGCATTATGAAATCAGCTTTAAGTATGTTTTCTCTAGAGAGTATGAAAGCAAAACATTTTCATTCTCAAGAGATCAATTGCTTCACACTTGTACCCAAATCCAGCCAGCTGTAATTCTAATTGGCATTTGCTAATTAAATCAGCAGGAGGCTTTCAATGAGGTGCTCTATCAACAAGTGGAAAAAAAAATAAAGAGCTGAGAAGTGTCAAATATGATCAACATATGTAGCTTCATATTGCATGCAATTCTCAACTTACAAACACGCTTTTTAAAAAACCCTGACGTTCCAGATAAAGCAACCCTGTTTTTTGTTTTTGATCAAAACTGCTTTAACTACTGGTCTTTCATATTCATTTATATTACTTTTAATCATGCTCCCTGTCCTCACTCTGCAGCCAAGAGGAGGCTGGAGACCACAGGTCTAGACCCTCATCTATGTCCTGCTAGTAGAACCATCTACCACAGAGTGAACATGTACTCATTGATCCAAGACAAGATTCCAAATTTTTTTTTAAAGATTTTAAAGTTTATTTATTTGAGAGAGAGAATGAGAGAGAGTACATGAGAGGGGGGAGGGTCAGAGGGAGAAGCAGACTCCCTGCTGAGGAGGTAGCCCGATGCGGGACTCGATCCTAGGACTCTAGGATCATGACCTGAGCCGAAGGCAGTTGCTTAACCAACTGAGCCACCCAGGCACCCAAGATTCCAAATTTTAATACAAGTAGGAAATCTTTTCTGGCAGCACTGACTGAGGAATATAATTATCTTTCTAGAAAACAGCAAAATCTTATTTTGTTCTAATAACATTAGGAAAATAAGCTGAAATTAATCTAGATGAGTGCAGAAATGGGTGCAAGCTTTAGTATTTCATATCCAAGTATAACTTCAAAATAGGGTCACATGCATCCATTTCTTCTCCCACCTAAAACCACTAAATGGCAGTAAAGGGATTTTGAAAAGATATGAGACAATAGTGGATGGAAAGTTTAATAACTCTTGGAAAACATAAAGTGGCTGAAGCAATGAGAACAGATTAAGAAAAACCAGAGGCCAAACACAGGAGCCTAGTCAAGGGGTGATTTTGAGAATAGAGACCCTTTCAATCCTTCAAAGGATGGACAAGGACAAGGTGCTGGAGAGTGGGGGATCTGTGAGAAATTGTGTACACCCAATAACAGGAGCACCATGAATCCTTGTCATCCACTGTCTCTTCAATTTGAGCAAACAGGTTTATTCAAACCCAAGAAAGATACTAAAGGATTCATCTCTGGAGAAACTAAGTTGCCCAAAGAAAAGACTTCAAATATAGACATCTGGGAAGGCCTCCTCAATGCAGAAGCCGGCTCCCCAACCAGTAATGCTGGAATAAAGACTAAAGACTAAGACTCCACATACCTGCTCGGCTTTGGGCTGCCTATCAGCTTGGGCACTTCACTGGTACATTTCAGTGAACACTGTTTTCAGACAGCCAGAGAAGACCAGTTATTTCAAGAAAACTCAAGACAAAAACAAAAGGTTCTAAAGCAAATTTTGAAAAAAGCAGCAAAAGCAGCAATCGGAGGAAAGACAAAAAATGCAGGGGGCCAAAAAATACTTTTTAAAAAGCTATATAATAGGGGCACCTGGGTGGCTCAGTTGGCTAAGCATCTGCCTTTGGCTCAGGTCATGATCCTGGGGTCCTGGGATCGAGTCCCACATTGGGCTCCCTGCTCAGCGGGGAGCCTGCTTCTCCTTCTCCCTCTGCCTCTCCCCCTGCTCGTGCTTTCTCTGTCTCTCTAATAAATAAAATCTAAAAAAATAAAATAAAATAAAAGCTATAATAAATGTCTCAAGGGAGGACATTATTATCTGTAAAACGAAAACAGGATGAGATTAAAACCGAGAACAAGAATACTTGAGGAATAAAGATGGGATACTAATATTAATAAACTTAAAAGATAAAAACATGAGAAAAGTCAAAGAGCTGTGTCCTATAGAACAATACTAGCTGCCTAAATTCCAATCTCTCCATATACCCTATAAAACCACCCCTAATCCATGTGTACTATAAAACGAGGAGTCAGAGAACATTACAAACTTCCATTTGCAGGTAAGTAGAGAAATAAACATCCAAACTCCTACAGAGCCCACTCCCAAGCCCACACTAGAGAGTGAGGCAGAGAATGGCAGTGTTGGACACAGCCCCCCAAAGAGTGCCACACCCTACATGTGAAAATAATAAGGACAAGTCTCCGACTCGGTAGATCAGAGCACGGGCTACTAAGGAATTTAAAGGACGGGACCAGAAAGTGCATGCAGCCAGGAGTTTGGGAAGGCACTGCTTCTGGAGAAAGAGACATCCTTTGGCAGTTTTGTGGCAAAAAAAGGAAGCAAGTGATGGAAATTGGGAATCCTATAGAAACAAAGAAAATCACAAAACCAGAAGTCATGCCAACCCCACTCCCCACCAAAAAAGAAGGCATCATCTAGTAAAAAAGCTACATGTCTGCATATCTGTGGAATAAGGTACTCTTGAATTAAGAAGTCTAGAGTAAGACCCTCAAACCTCACCCCATATCCACACTGAATCCCTGCTGCCACTGATGCATGACAAAAATAAGTATAAGACAGCAGGGAAAATCCTTATAAAGCTCTATGTGAAAAAACACTTCAAGTCAGAAATTCAAATACTCAGAACTGAAACAAAAAAGACAAATGCTGACCAAATTCAGAAAAGACAAAATCCTCTCATAATTTACATGTATTGTTTCACTAAAAAAATTAGCAGTACCTACACCTTTATGGAGCACCGTGAAGATTAAATGAAAAAACGGGTATAAAGTACATGATGCAGTACACACTTTTGTTCAAGCACAGAGTAAATGTTCAACCAATGTAAAAAAACAAATCATTCTACTATTCAGAAAAGGAAAATGTGGAGGGTGCCATACTAAGGACAGTGGGCTTCACTAACAAAGGAGAAGATGCCTGCAATCAAGGCAGAAATGGTACAAATTAAAATCTTTAAGATACTACTACAAGCATTGATATCATTGAGTGGGTTCAAAGTTCAGCTACAAAGGAATAGTCAGACATTTTCCAGTCAGTCTAGGAAGAGTTCTTGGAGCAAAGAAGTCTTAAACAGTGTGCCCAAGATAAGAATAGGGCTGGGTAGGAAAAGATGCCCCAGGGAGCACTCACTATCCAGGACTTTCTATGAGGACCAATCTCACTCATGTCTAACTTGGGCGGCTGTGCCATTTGCTCTACTCTCAACCCCAACTTACTGCCTTCCTCCTGCTCGCTGACTCCTCCTTCTGTTTTAGGCAAGGCATCAGAGATCCACTGGCCCTCTTCTGTTTCTCCCAGGATCGTCTCCAGCTCTATTTCATCCATGGTGCTCCCCTCAGATGAAAGCAATTTATCCAAACCGAATTTGAGTATCTCACTCAACTTGGAGAAAATGAAAAAGTCCAGTTAGTTCTCATGAAAATAAGCATTGGGATGTCAGTGATGTGCTACATGGCTTAATGACACAAGGTGAATCCCTTCCCTGTTGGTCAGCCATTCTTCTCTCCCCATGAGGATGACACCAACAGGGCCATTTAATAGGTGGATGGACGACAGCCAAGCAGAGAGGCAATGAATACTGATCAGTGATGTTGACTTTGACAATTCTCCACCACCACAAGAAAAATTAGCCAATATTTTCCTAAAAAACAGTAATATCCTGCATTATCTATAGCACTTCTCAGAGTCCTTCTCACGGGCACTTCCAGCAGCCACATGAGAAATCAGAGACCCAGTCAGTCTCTCTCCCACTGACAAATTTCAAAGAAGGCTACACTGGGTACTTTCCCTCTACCATTAACTAACTGACTTCTTTCCTTCGGCAATCTGGTTTCCTACCACAGTGCCCTATGGAAACACCTTCGCAAAGACCAGTAATAACTGATAGCCAGACCTGAAGGCCATTTCTCAATTCTAATCTTCCTGGATATTTCTCTGGCACTGCACTATCCTGCCTCTCTTCCCTTATCTTAAAGGGCACCCTTAGCCTATTCCGTAGGGATACAGGAACCACCCAAACAGTTCAAATAATTTCCCTGGCTTTAGCTTCCTACTTCCACTTTGCAACTCCTTAAGCATTAACTCTCTGAGGTTCCAAATCAAGGCAGACTCACATCGTGGCTTCTAGTTCATATCTTACCCTTTTAGACTGGGTCAGTTATCTCTAGATGGTCTAGTATTTGTAAGCCAAATACTGATGGGAACGTAAACTGTTCCCAACACCAGCTGTTTGAGAGGGCTCTGTCGGACTTCTTGCCCAGCTCAAGGACACCAGAAGGTTACGTTCCGGCTCTAAAGTCTGCTTTTGGGGTGCCTGGGTGGCTCAGTCATTAAGCGTCTGCTTTCAGCTCAGGTCATGATCCCAGGGTCCTGGGATCAAGCCCCGCATCGGGCTCCCTGCTCAGCGGGAGGCCTGCTTCTCCCTCTCCCACTCTCCCTGCTTGTGTTCCCTCTCTTGCTGTCTATCAAACAAATAAATAAAATCCTTAAAAAAAAAAAAAAGTCTGCTTTCTCCCTCCCCCTCCAGACTACACTAGTTATCTCTTTGGTTGCCAAAAACAAAGGTGACAACCCAATGACCTTGTCTCAGATGAAAGCAGTTTGTTCATTGTTTTAAAATAATCCAGTAATAAAAGATGGGGTTGTGGTTTATTAAATCTAAGAGATACAGCATTCTCAAGTCCTGGAAGAGGGAAGCAGGTCATTACCCTACAAAGAGGCAGATGTAGTGAACATTTATTGAATGCTTACTGTGGGCTAAGTATCATCTGAAGTGCTTCTGTTTCAGTGAACATGATCCCTGGGCCAAAATGGAAGAACCTACAATATATTATAATATGGGTTCTAATTTTAACCCAGGGGCTACTACAGAATAACTCAAAGCCCTCTTCCAGAAGAGAAAATCTTCAAGTCAGCGTTTGTTTCCTATCCAATATTCCCACCTTCAAGCAATTTATTTTTTCATCCATTTCTCTGGAAGTCTAATTTTGAATTCCTGATCTCATCTACCCTCCTCTGACTATGAAGGTCATTCACTGATCAAAGGGTCTGGGGTGAAGATGAGGTATGGGATTAATTATCATTTATTAAGCGGAGTTCTTTATCTAATTTTTTTAACAGTCCTCGGAGGTAACTTGCAGTATTCTCATTTTCTGAAATGCAAACAGAGCACATCTGAGAGGTGAAGATACCTGCTCAAAGCTACATAAGCCACTAAGGGACAAGGCTTAGATCTGAATCCAAGTGAGGGGGGTCTAAAGCCCATTCCTGTTATTCCATATTCCACTACATTTATATATCATTTTCATTTCTAGCTCCTTGCTTGCATGCAGGAGATACCATGGCAGGTATGTCTGGCCAGGGAACAAATGTGTAGTTGGGGAGAGTGGGTATTAATACCAGTTCTTTGTGTTAACTTTCTCACCCACAAGAAAGTACTGACAGGGGCGCCTGGGTGGCTCAGTCATTAAGCGTCTGCCTTCGGCTTGGGTCATGGTCCCAGGGTCCTGGGATCGAGCCCCGCATCGGGCTCCCTGCTCAGAGGGGAGCCTGCTTCTCCCTCTCCCACTCCCCCTGCTTGTGTTCCCTCTCTCGCTGTGTCTCTCTCTGTCAAATAAATAAATAAAAATCTAAACAAAAAAGTACTGACAATATGACACTTTTTTTTTTTTGGTTTTTAGTTTTATTTACAAAAATTCAGCTACGTAAAGGCACAGTAAGTGTGGTCAACTAATTACTAGCAGTTCGTAGAAAATTCAGTGTTTCTTTTGATTCAAATATTTGGAAAGCTTTAACAGATGTAAATTATTTTTGTTTTATATAGTCAATGTTAATTAAGCATGCTAATATCTTTTCTTCTTAATCATTTTGGAATATATAATTGGCTAATTATTTTTATTAAAGAGATAGCTTTATAATATTTGCTATGATAGAGCCATCATTAAGTAGACACCACCATCTTTCCTTTGCAGATGGCCTTAGTTTTACAATCTCCTCAAAGAGCGTCACCTCACTAATTTTGATGCCAGCCTGGCCAGTATGAAGCCATTCAGGAATTTTTTTTTAATTATATTTTATCATGTTATATTAATCACCATACAGTACATTATTAGTTTTTGATGTAGCTCGTGATTCACTGTTCGCGTATAACACCCAGTGCTCCGTTCAATACGTGCCCTCTTTAATACACATCACCAGGCTAACCCCACCCACACCCCCTCCCCTCTAGAACCCTATGGACTCTGAGAAATATGACACATTCTTAAGGGATGAACAACATATGATACCTGGAGGTCAGCATCCGCTGCAGGTTTCTGGGCCCCCAGAGTAAAATGGCCCCCCTCTATGATAGTGTTGGTAAGCTGCAGTTTGGAGGTGGCTTTCCTACAGACTATTTCCTCCACAGTGTCTCGGCCAATCAGCCGAATAACTTTAACAGACCTGTACAGAGTCAAAGGAGAGGAGTGTGCTGCAGAGATGAACACAGGCATGCAAGGTTGATATACCTAAAAGGAAACAAACCCAAAATGCTACGTTCAGGGTACAACTAAAGGGAGACTGGACTATGCGGATCTGAGCAATTGTTAGAGAGATCTGGCCCCACAGAAGCTTTCCAAGAGAGTCAAGGAAGGGATAAGGAGGGGTCATAAATTAGGGTTTCTGATGGGAACAGGAGGAAAACCTCTGGCAGATCTCAATTATCCTCTGGTCAAAGGGTAAGGCCCATCTCCTTAGCTTTTTAACAACACAAGTCTGGAATGAGAATGAGTGCTGGCCAGCAGCAAAGCTGGGCTAAAACCCAGAGCTCTCTGGCCCTCCAGTCTGGGACGCCACAGGACCAGCTTCTTCACCTTCCTTCCCCACCCGCAACTGCTGAGGAGCCCCAGATGTGGAAGAACGCTGGTGCTGAACTCTCTCACTTGTTCTGGCCAAGCCGATGAGCCCTGGCAGCTGCCTGCAAGTCATTCTGCGGATTGAAATCACTGTCGACAAAAATAACGGTATCTGCAGCCGTTAAGTTCATGCCAACTCCTCCTGAAAACAATGCAAAAGGAACGTGATCAGCAGCACTCCGGCTAGGGCTAGACGAGAAAGACACAAGGCTACAGCAGTGTGACTGGTAAATTAAGATCAGTCAAAACAGTTGGCCTCACCCTTCAAACTGACACTCCATCCCCAACCCCAGGACCTTGGAGTGGTTAACAGTGCTACCCGGGCTCATATTGCCTGACTTGGGAAAATTTAATGACCAAAAGTAACAGAATGAGAGGAGCAAGGGCAAGGAGCCAAAGTGCAAGCTGAAGTTAGTGCCAGGAAGCCATTTTAAATGGTTTTGATTGGTTTGTTTAGAATGCTCTAAGAGCATGCATGCTCTTTCAAAAGAAAACAGTCTTAAATATGCAAGAGGCCTTCTGCTGTGGGCGCTGTTAAGAGAGGAGTTAACATCCACCGCAGGTTACAACTAAGGCACCAAGGTCCCTGACAGAGGCTAATGTGAACAGAGGATGACATTTATTTATTACACTCCTAAGCAGAGCAGGAAACTACCTCCCTCTGACAGGAGAAAACTTAGAAAGCCTTTTCTGTATTTGTTTCCACATGAATCAAAGAGAAGCTAACGAAACCAACCATAGGACAAGAACACTCCATGGGACAACTTTCTGATCCTTCTTCAGTGTAGCAGAAGGGCTGAGGAGGCTCTTTGGATGATGAGAATTAATTAAGAGAACCATGAAAGCAAATTACAGCCTTGTCTTTGATTAATGTAGAAACAAGTACAAAAGGGACTTCCTCTTGCCAGGGTCGTTACAGCTCATTGCTGAGACAAGCGAGCTTGAAAGGGCTTGTTCCAAGAGCCTGAATTAAGGACTAACTTTTGAGATGGGCTACTGACTCTAAGCTGGCTCTCAAGAAAAGTCAGGCAGGAATATTCTAATTAAAGACTTCATATAAAATTAAAGTTGGAATAAAGAGACAATAAAGACTGATCACTGAGAGGTGCTAAATTATACCTGACAATAATGCTTGTGCTGTGCTTACTCCGTGCCAGGCACTGTTCTACACATTTCACATATATTGACCCCTTGAATCCTCATAACAACCGTATGAGTAGTTTGTTATTATTATTTGCATTTTATAGATAGAAGAACAGAGAAGCCAAAGGACTTATTAGAGATCACACAGCTAGAAAGTGAAAGAGCCAGGAGTCAGTCCCACACTGTCTGGCTCCAGAGACTCTGCTTTTACCCACTACGCCATAATTATCTCCCAGGTACTTATTTCATTAAAGTGTGCTCCATAAAAATTATCATCTTCTTCTTGGGTTAATGTCTCAGTTCAGCTCTTCTTCATTAAGGGGTGATGTTTTACAAATAAGCTATTCTCCTGTCTTGTTTGGGAAATATCGTGAGCTATCACTGCCACCTGGTGGCAATATGCTTCAATCACAGAAATACTTGAAAGTTGGAGGGAAACCTGTTAAATGAAATGATAGTACTACTAATCTACAGCTAAAAAGTAAGGCAAACATGACCGTTAGTGTTTGGAAAAGGCTCATGTCCAGGACTGCTTCAGTTCTCAAAAGATTACCCTGTGCTGATTCTGCTTCTGAGTACTCCAAGGGGCTAACTCTTTCTTCCTGATTTTAGACCTTTCAAACATCACGCTACTCTCTGAATATGAAGATGATGAAATCAGTAACGCATAAATAGAGCTGTTTTCCAACACCGAAGATGCATTTGCCCTGATCCTTCCAATGTCTCCTAAAACCATCCGAGACAAGAAAGAACGTGAATAAATGGCTGATTCAGGGTGCAGTCTCCTAAAACCATCCGAGACAAGAAAGAACGTGAATAAATGGCTGATTCAGGGTGCAGTCTATGATAATGGAAGCAAGTGAAGCCAAATCAATCGGATTATACCTTTGTAATATGGAGATGAGACATACACAGGTGAAACAATCTCCTTACGGTCAAGGATTCTACCTAACACATCTTTTATGTACCCTTACAGTATGGGACACTTAATAAATGCTTTCTAAGATGGAACTTTCTCTTTATACAAATACTGATCTCTCCTTAATAGAGGATACAAATCCCTTTAGTGTTCCTGCATCTATTGCATCAAAATTAGGTCTACAGGGCACCTGGGTGGCTCAATCAGTTAAGTGTCTGCCCTTGGCTCAAGTCATGATCTCAGGGTCCTGGGATGGAGCCCCGTATCGGGCTCCCTGCTCAGCAGGGAGTCTGCTTCTCCTTCTCCCTCTGCCCCTCCCCCTGTTTGTGCTCTCTCTTGCTCACACTGTCTCAAATAAATAAAAATCTTAAAAAAAAAAAAAGATTAGGTCTACAAAAAGTAAGATAATGAAACTAAGATTCTAGAAGTCCAAAACTAATTTAAGGTCAGCTTGCTCCATGACATAAGAATAATTTCATCTCTGAGAACTGATTTCAAATGACTAAAGCATCTATAAAAGCAGTCTTTGGTAAAGCATTATAAATATCACAGAAAATATTTACGACAACTCATCAAGATAATGTTAAAAATAATTCTAAAGAGCTGGCAATTTCATTATAATCGCAACTTTTTTAAAAAAGAGATTTTTATTAAGCGTTTACAGCACTATTCCAGAGCTACTTGTGGAGGAGAGCTAAGTAGCAGACAGGTTGTTATCTTACTTCCCAAATTCACGGCTGGGAAGGAGAGTGTTCTCTACTGAATGTGAGTAAAACTTTCCATGAGATTACAGACATCCTCCGGGACAAGCCCAGGTCAGTGGTCAAAGCACAATCAAATTCCCTTCCCACAGCCCCTGCTTTCAGCCTTCCTTCTCTGAGCTGGCAGCTTAGATAACGTGGGTGGGGAACAACCCCATGCTAGGAGTCCAATACTTCGATTAACTTACGGCAACTCCCTCAATTGCCCTTTTTTATGTTCCTTGGTAATGACCTCACCTTTCAGAGAATTAGGGGAAAGCATACTAGTGGTCGGGATGTAAAAGTACTGTATCCCCCTCCTTATTTGTCTGCTTTGGCCAATGCCTATGTGGCCTACCTGCCCTGGTACTCAGGAGAAAAATAAAAACGGGCTGCTGTCCGAAGTTCTTAATGGCCAGGTGTCTCTCCTCTCCTCTCACAGACCCATCCACACGCTCGTAGCTGTACCCTTCACATGGACAAAGAAAACACAGAGAAACCGTTTTCACATACGCTTCGGGGGAATAAAACTCTGTCGGCTCAAAACCAAATGCTAATTTTGTCCCTTTTTGTATACAGGTATGCCTCTACTTGAAGCAAATCCCGTGGGAAAAATCTAAATTTAGGTGACATCTCATTGTTTTACACAAGCACTCAACGTAATATACCTCTCTGGGATTTTTAAATACGTGCAGTTGACGTATTTGGCGTTTGAGGAGTTAACAGTCAATTCTGACTATTCCAGCCCCAAAGCACACTGTGAACCACGCTGTGTGGTAGTTTCCAATTCTGCCACGACAGAATTCTTACTAATGCAAGCAATAAGACAAGCACCGAGGAGCTGGTGAGTGAGCCTGCCCAATGGCCCAGCAGCTGCCTTTCAATGAAGCTTCAGGTTCACCCATCACCCCAGACCCCTGCTGGGAAAGGGAATTATATGCTCAAGGCCTGTTTGTGAATCTGGGGATCCCCCAACATGCCAATGGCATTTCCTACGAGTGTCCAATGGACCAGGTACTGTACTGTAGTACTTAGGGGCCATCGAGTGGCTCTGAGAGACCTACTCTGAATTCATATTTTAAGGTCTGAAGCTGATGCTCCCTCACCACTGATTTCAAGATCAGTGTTACAGCCTTTTCCCATCATCCCACATACATTTTATTATATATTAAACAGAATCCCCAGGTAATAACTTACATTCCCTATTGTTTATAAAGAAAAAAAACATTCCTTTCCCTTGGTTGATACATGGGATCTCTATAATTCCATCTTTTCTACTGATCCTGAGTAAGTGCTTGCTCAACAGTAGAATTGAATGTTGCAAGACACCGGAAGCTCTGCTTTTAGCAAACATTTTCAAAAACACTCAACATTTCTGCAACTCGGATTTTTTTTTTCCAGTATCCACAATTTTAAATCACATCACCAGTGGGAATATGTGTGTTTATTTCTGCCCAAGTGTCTCCACCCGGCTGTCAATCCTTGTGTAACACACCTCTCGCCTTACTTTCAATCTTCCTTTGGTTCAGAATAATGTTCTTTCACTGCTTTCCTCTGTAACACCCCCACCCCCAGATTACTCTTCATGGACCTACTAGACTCTTAAGTCTAAAAAAGGCTCAGGCAACGTAGTGGCCAAGGAACGTCACCTCTATAGTCCATGTAGTCTTGGAGAATATCCAACATCTGGGTCATCTGGGAGAAAAGTAAAACTCGATGGCCCCTGGCAAGAAAGAGAAAAGGAAAGGCTACCAACTCTTAAGTTTCCCTGAGGGAAACTTACCAAAGAATACAAGTTTATAAATAAATGAAATTCTGAAGCAGAAATATAAATACCATAATCATTTACAGAGACTTCCTCAGAAATGCTAAATGTTCCACATGAATCACCCCACATGTAGCCATATTCTGCAGAGCCGAAGTTCTCAAACTACAGATACTCCCAGGAGCAAATGCACCAGGGGGTACAGAAAGCCCCAGGATAACCAAAGCATGTCTTTCTGGAATGTCAATTTACATTCCAATTTAATGGAAAGAAATATACGCTTTCATTCGAATGGCTAAATAAATAAAGGTATGTGAAGAATAAAATGTAAAAGTCAAATGCACAAAACCCAATTGGAAATCCTGAAGAATTTGTGATCAGCCACCTGTAGCCATTCTCTGCTTGCAGGTGTCAAACCACTATCCTCTCATCTACAGCTGTTATTGGTGGAAAAGTCTGACAAGTATCACTTTAGAGAAGGGGCAGGTGGCATCTCATATCCCATAGAACACATTAAAATACTTACGTATAGCAAGAGGAAGGGAAAGGAGGAGGCAAAATGAATTAAGTCAAGAATGAAGATGAGCCTACAGTCCCATGTTATCAGGTATTATTTTAAGTTTTCACAAAGAAAAATATGACACTGTCAAAACAAGAGTCTCATTAGGAAAACTAATTTAGGGCACCTGGGTGGCTCAGTTGGTTGAGCGACTGCCTTCGGCTCGGGTCATGATCCCGGAGTCCCAGGACAGAGTCCCACATCAGGATCCCTGCTCAGTGGGGAGTCTGCTTCTCCCTCTGACCCTCTCTCCTCTCATGCTCTCTCTCACTCTCTCTCTCTTAAATAAAAAAAAAAATTAAAAAAAAATCTTTAAAAAAAGAAAAGGAAAACTAATTTAATCTGAGCTTGCGATGTGTAAAGAAACAATTATGAAGAACTCCTTCAAGACTAGTCCCAAACGTGTGGAAAAGGCATTGACCTTGAGGACCTCAATTCTAATCCCATCTCTGTCATTTGCTGGCTGTGTGACTTTAGACAGGTCACATGACCACTCTGGGCCTGTTTCATCACCTGTGAAATGAAAATGTTAGACAGAAGATGTTTAGGGGTCCTCCTCCATCTCTAACACACTTATACTAGATATATCAGAGCCAATAAAATACATGAAGACATGCAATTATTTGGTTTGCACATTCCAAATGTTGGGTGGTTTTGCCAAACCTGAGGTTTTATGGTTAGTTCAGGCTCACTTGGGACAGCTGTCCCAAAGGGACAACTCTGAAACTCTTAGGAAGCTGGGTTTTTTCTAGACTTCTCTGTCCCTCTGGGGTCCAGGAGGATCAGGTAGAGGCTGGATACCAGGCCACTGAACACTTAGCTGAACCTTTTTAAGGCTCCAAGAGTGACTTGGTCTTCAGCTACGCAGCCCATGTCTCCGGGAAAGAGTCCTGCAAGTTCTCTCTGAACCAAACCCTACAGGGGTTAACAAAGGTGCATATTTACTAAGCCCTCATTAGGTGCCAATTCTCAAGGTACCAGCAGGCAATTAAAAAAGAAATGTTTGATGAGATCTCTGTCTGTGAAACTAAATACAGCTGGAGTAGTAAGATTACTGCACATCAATTAAACAGAAAGCAGATTAAGGCAGTGCATTGCCAAGTGCTGGATTAGGATCCTAGGTGCTGTAGGAATTCGGGAAAAGGAAGGATGATTATGGAGGGGATGGGGTGGGATGTGATGCAGTGTAGGTGTAGTTGCAGAGAAACTGGAACCAGAATCAGGGTCTTGAACAAAAGAAAAATTGGAATTAGTCTCAAGAAATCAGTGAATTGGGGAGCCTGTGTGACTCAGTCGGTTAAGCATCTGCCTTTGGCTCAGGTCATGATCCTGGAGTCCTGGGATCGAGCCCCGCATTGGGCTCCCCGCTCAGGGAGGAACCTGCTTCTCCCTCTCCCCAACCCCCACCCTCACCCCGCTCGTGCTGTCTCAAATAAATAAATAAAATCTTAAAAAAAGAAAGAAAGAAAGAAATCAGTGAATCATCTGGTTTTAAAAATTACCAACTCAGAGCAGAAAATGTGAACTGACCACCTACCTGGAATACAGGAATGCAAGCAGCTTATCCAGTAGATGAAGTTTCCCACTGGTCTCAATCAGGTGGTCTCCAATTTCAAAAGGCTCTGGTTCCACACCTGAAAAAAAAGGAACCTATTCCCAATGAAGTGTCCCCTGGTCATGGCAGACTTCTTAAGTAGAGAAGCTGCTAGTGAGGCTACAGCAAGAGGCCAAGCTCCTTCTAACTGAAAATGGGCCCAAGTCTCATCTCTCTTTGAGACATTTTATGTTTGTATGATAATCTTGGTGCTGCTTAACATCAATCACAGAGCCTAACACCCCCAACATGCTTAATAAATGTCCATCCAAGGAACAAGCCCACTCTTTAGGAAAGGGAGGCACAAGGACATGCTAAAGGCCAGAGAATTGAAAATTTGAGACTCTCACTCAGGAAAACAAATCAAGAAATAACGCTTAGATGTATAAACGAGTAATTCTCAAGGCGGGGAACGGCAGTCAGAATAACCTAAAGGGCTTCTTTCAAAATCTCCATGTTCCTAATGCCCCCTGCCTTAACAAAAGATTCTGAAATGTATCTGATTAATATTCTGTGACACTTAAAACAATTCATAGTGCTACTTGCAAATACTCCCTTAAAATGACTCCAGCAAACCCTCCACACTGATCCTACCCATTCCAGTGCCCCCATGGCCACATAAGTCCTAGAAGTGTCCCAAAGGCTACCTATCAGAGTGAATCAAAAAAGCCCTTGTTTGAATTAAAATGAAAATAGTGCATATTGAAATGTGCGGTATTTAGCTAAAGCAGCACTTAGAGGGAAATTTGCAGACATCCCTAAGATGGAGGGGAAGCGGCAAAGGAAGCTGAGAAAGAACAGAGGTAGGGAAATGGGAGATGCAAGAGAAAGCGCTGTTCCAGAAGCCAAAGGAAGAAAGTGTTTCAAGAAAGAAGTGATCAACTGTGTCAAAGGTTTTGAGAGGTTAATTAAAATGTGAACTGACAACCACTGGAGATCACTGGTAAACTTGCAAAGTTAAAGGGTGGTAATGAAAGGCCAACAGCGGAACGGGCTTAAGACAATGGGACATCTAGGATGGCTCAGTCAAGGCTGAGCATCTGACTCTTGATCTCAGCTCAGGTCTTGATCTCAGGGTCGTGAGTTCAAGCCCTGCATCTGGGCTCCATACCCAGCCCAGCGTGGAGCCCACTTAGAAAAAAAAAAAAAAAAAAGACAATGGGACATCTAATCACAAAGAAATGATCCCCAAATCCACATTATGAGACAACCCATAAAACAACCAGCCCTGAGATTCTTCAAAACTGTAATTTCAGGCAAGACCAAAAAAAAAAAAACCAAACAAAAAAGCTGAGGAATGTTTCTGGATTATAGGAGAACAAAGAGACAGACAAATATAATTCAGATCTATGACTCGATTTTGAATTTTAAAGAAGAAAGTCAAAGCCATAAGGGACATTAAGGGGACAACTGAAAAAAGCTGAATATGAACAATATATTAGATTATATCAACAGGAAAAATAACAAGAGAAAATGGAGGAACAAACTGGACAGTGAATACAGGCAATTCTTTTGAAGAATTTTGCAATGATGTTGGCCACAGAAATGTTCATGAAAAGCAATGTGAGAAAATAGGGCACTGTCTCACCATCAAACAGATACGGGTGATCCACACACTTTCGAAGCTGGGACAAGACGTTCTGAAGTTTAACTTTCTTTGCCATCTCATTTTCAAATGCATCTGAAAACAGCCAAGAGAGAGAGACAGAGAGAGAGAGAGAGATGGACTACTGAACAACAACAAAAAACAAAAACTCTTAAGTTAACCTTATTTATTCAGTAATATATCTCTCAAACCTATATTAACCTCCTAAATTTCACTGAATTGCATTAAGAATTAACAGCATATCCACATGAAGTTTTCCTAACTATCACTTTGTTTTAAGGAAACCTAACTATAAAATGAACTCAGGAGTATGTTGTTACTTTTGCACAATTCTAAATTCCCTTCTTAACAGTAGTTAAACTACTGTTGTGGAGCCAAGGGATAAAATAACACAAGTGACAGACTGTTCTACTCCTCTTTCTCTCTGTTCCCACTCCCAATTCCTCTCAGTGAATCTGGTCCAACAAAAAAGTTTTGCAATGTGTTAAATATCTGATGGGGTGTAAAGATGAAAGGCATGACTGGCATACCTAGAAGTGTTTGCTTACCTAACTTCTATGCAATAAGGACAACTGGTGGGGGGCGGGGGGAGAGAAAAGGAAATTTCACAAGTGCAACAACCAATAAAGTCTGCATTATAGTAAAGATACCCCGCATGGTTTCACTGTGGCTGACCTAAACATTATTCAGAATACAAAATTCCATCCCATATTACTATACAAAGCAAGTGTGATAATATGATATTTACTCACCTAGTACACGTATACCCACTAGTAGGCATGCCTAGCATTTATTTTGAACAATCATCCTGGGATAATAATAAAATCACATCCTCATTTAGTTTCTAAGCAGTCAAGTGCCCTCTGATTACCTAGGTCTTTCATCAAAATGGCCTTGTAGTATTTTTTCTGCAATGCCGACATGCCGTGGTATATCACTACCTCTGTCTTCTTGGGAAGTTCTGTAGCTACCTCAGCTTTCACCCGCCTCAACAGAAATGGCTGCAAGAGTCTGTGTAGTTCGCTTGCTGTATAAGGAAAAAAAAAAACCAACAACACAAGAAGAGCAGGATGAAATTTTCATGCCAATTCCACATGCTAGACCAGTATGGGGAAACAGACTCTTTCTACTTCTTCCAAAAATGATCCATTAAGTCCTATTGTAGAATCGTGTAACAAATAAGAATCACGAATAGCAGACAACTGGGAACAACTTGAGGGATCTAGCATCACCTCAGCTTTGTGTGGCTCTTTATCTCCCTAGAAGGTGCCCTCCTGTTATCAATTCTCTTTCTTTTCTACCTAGAAACCCATATCTGTTATACACTAGGGAAGTTTCTGGGCCCAGACTTCTTGGCATGATTTCAAGGAAGGGAACTTGCCTGACTCAGACTCCTTCTCAACATCCTGGTAATGCTGAACAAATTCTCCCACCTGCTCCTTGGGAAAGAGATCAGGCTCCACAAAACTGAGGAGAGAGTAGAGCTCTTGGAGGCTGTTCTGGATGGGAGTTCCGGTCAACAGGAGATTGAAGACTACTGAGAACTCAAATACATAAATAAGTCAAGTAAAAAATCTATAACCTTGGAAATCAAGACCAAGTTCCCCATCACAACCTTTACCTGTACAAAGAGAGGCATAATTTTTTAAAGATTTTATTTATTTATTTGAGAGAGAGAATGAGAGACAGAGAGCACGAGAGGGAAGAGGGTCAGAGGGAGAAGCAGACCCCCCGCTGAGCAGGGAGCCCAATGCGGGACTCGATCCCGGGACTCCAGGATCATGACCTGAGCCGAAGGCAGTCGCTTAACCAACTGAGCCACCCAGGCGCCCAAGAGAGGCATAATTTAATGGGATGACCACGAGGACATGAAACCAGAAGACTCGGTTCAAGCTGTATACTAGAGATTTGATGTAGGAAATAATATCTCTTCAGTTGTAAGAAGGGGACAAATATCCTATGAAGGACAAATATCCTGTTACAAGGAGGTGAGTAAAATCACTGTGTGAACTCTGAAGGGCTACATGAGTATTCGATATGGTTATTGTTACTCAATCTTAGTGGGGATTCAAGCTGTATTTTATTACCCACATGGGTGAGTCTACTGAGGCATCAGAGGCACATGGTACCTACTTAAGCAGTTTGAAAAAGCTATAGCATCAGCCCCACCACTACAAGCAAGAAGCAAGAAGATCTATACTAAAAGAATGTCCTTCTGTACAACTTTAGGGTGCATCACACCCAAAACATCAAGACTTCTGGATGTTTCTGGGCCTTATACAGCCCCAAATGAAAGAAATTCTTTAAATTTTGAGCAACAAGTAAGAACAAGAAGAATAAGAGACTAATGAAATAAAAGGTTAGGAAAGACAATAACAGGTATTAGGTTAAGCAAAGGACAACCTCTAAGAGGTCTAAACTGACATTAAGAAGAACTTACGCCATTTGAGTTAAATAATGCAGCAAAAACGGAAAGCCATATCCCGTGTATGTTATTTTAAATACTGAAATACAGTATGATACATATACACACATATGTATACATACACACACCTTATTTTAAATATAAAAATGCACTATATTTTGGTTTCTAAAATAATATATATGCATATTTATGTGTTTGGGTGTTCACCCGCACAGCAAAGGATATGGCAGCAGATATACCAAATGTTAATGTATGCACGGGAATAAGATTATTAATGGTTTTTATGTTTATTCTTGTGTTTCTATATTTTGATTTGGAGGGAGTCATAAGATACTGATTTTGTAGTCAGAAAAGGTAACAGATGCAATAACACAATCAAAACTGATTTGAAAATGATTTATTACTATTTTTTTGAAATCTCCTTTTTTGTTTTCTTTTAAATTGTTTAATCAATGTCCACCCACTCATGCCTGCTCTGATAGGGCAATGTTTTCATAGAATTTAAGTACAGGAACTGGTCAGAAATAAATGCTTTCAACAACCAAGTGACCTTTTTACAATGTGTTCACCAAGCAAAGAGCTGGGGTGACCAAAGAATATGAAGTCAAAAAGATAACCAGGATTGTTGGTCACTACAGTCAACTTATACTGTCATATGCGCTAATATATTTATTCACAGTAGTGTCCATTCAGTATCAAAACTTCTAACTGGGTGAAAAAAAAAAATCAAGAGACTATCTCTTTGTATACAGTATTTTTAAAACTTCTCTTTGTGTACGATACTGTGCAAACATTTCCCATGTTGTTAAATATTCTTCTACATAATTTTTCATGGCAGCCTTACTTTGTCAAGGTACTATACTTTGTGAATTGTATAACCAACTCCTTATGTTTCACTACAAATTGCTTCCAACTTTTACAAACAAGCTGAAAACAATATTATAAAGGGGGAAAAGGGTACTACCCTTTTCCCCACTTCTATCAATAAATACATTTCTTTCCAACCAACAAGTTGTCTGCAATTCAAACCCCCCTTCATGCTTAGATGACACAGAAATTCCTCACATAATCCCTCTGAGACTTAGTTTCCTTATGAATAACAAGGATAGACTCTGGGACCCGCAACAGAACTTAGCCACTCCAAACCCTGGGGTCCATTTACTACACCTGCTTCTCTTCTCCCATTATCCATTAGTAAACTGGCATGGTAGTTTAGGGTTAGGTGCCAGAATATGACAACCTCTTGGGAAAAAGATACTGTTAAGAATCCCTAAAAGAAGGCAAAAGACATCATAGAGCAGAGGGGACCCTCCAGGGTAGAGCAACCTTTGAGACTGGACTAATAACAGACAGTGACCACGTCTGCATTAAAATGCTAAAAACTACAACTTTTAGCCAGTAAATAGAGAATTCAGACCTAAGACTTTCCTGCAAATCACCTCTAAATTTATTAACTCATTTGTTACAGGACATGATGTTATAGGACAGGGACCAAACTTCAGTGATGGCCACAGGAATTCGAATATGTGGTCTTATTTGTAAGGTCAGCAAGGAGAAGGGCACTTCTTACTCACAAGCTGTTCCGCTGGCTCCTCAGAAAAGAGGGCAAATCTAGGGCTACACTGACATTTCTCATTTCTCACTGTGCCACAATGGTGCCAGAGATCAAGAGAAGGGAATGAGATCAAGGGTATCACACTCAAAAGTATGACAAAGACAAGAGAGACTACAGCTAATAGTCAATGGCATGCAACGGGGTCTCTTCATTACTCCATGGGAACTATCAGATCCTTAAAAAAGGTAAATGGGGGGGAAGGGTAAAATATGTCAGATGTAACTGCTATTGCAGACAAAAGAGTTATAATAAGATTATTTTTAAAGAATTACCCCTCTGAAGATCAAAAGAGAGTTGAAACATTCCAAAAATACAATGTATTTTATTGAGGTAGTGTCTTATTATTTGATACCCAGATTTCAGTAAATGGTATCTTCTATGTCAAAGTCAAGAGGAAGAAGTTAAGCCATATTTAGTACTACCTCTGTCACTCACAAAATGTTTATTTAGCCCTATAGAAATCTGACTAAAAAAAATGTTTCAACTTAACTCCATACAGGACCAAGATAGTATTTTTTTAAAGGAACTTGTACAAAAACTAAGACTATCCTGTGAGTTTACCTCTGAAAGTGTCTTATGCAGCAAGGAGTTTTGGTTTTTCAACCTGTGAGCTTCGTCCACAACAAGAACACTCCAAGGGAAGCTGTGAGAAAAAAAGCCAAGCTTTCAGTTTTGTGTAACCCAAGCATGTATCTCATAGCCAAAAAGTCTTACCATACAACTGGCACTCGCGTTGGAAAGACTAATATTAAGCCCATTCTATTAGAAACACACTCAAACTGCCTTTTTTTTCTTAAGATTTATTTATTTATTTGAGAGAGCGCACACGCATGAGTGGAGGTAGGGGCAGAGAGAAAGAATCTCAAGCAGACTCCCCACAGCATGGAGCCCCACACAGAGCTAGATCTCACAACCCTGAGATCATGACCCGAACCAAAATCAAGAGTCGGATGCAAGCCAGGCACCCCTCAAATTACCTTCTTATCTGAAAGCCTGCCATGGACATAAGACAACATCTGGATAAGGTAGTAAATTTAAGGGAATTTGTTTTCCAAGATGGGAAAGATCTGTGCAGAAAAGAAGGAGCTAGAGACAAAAAGCAAAAGGAAACATTTATGACCACCTACTATGTGCCAGATCCTGTGCTTGGTTGGGGCTTTGTGTCTGTTATTTAATCCAAGAGAACATGGTGAGTAGACATTATTCTGCTCATTTTACCACCAAGGAGACTAAAGCTCAGAAAGATTAGGTGACTGGGTCACGGTCATAAAGCTAGAATGAGGTAGAGCTGAGATTTAAACCCAGAACAAAAATCAAGAGAAAACGGTGTCACAGTGCTTAAAAGTGTTTTAGATTTAAAAATGGGAAAGCACTGAGTAAGATCAAATGTTATTGATGTTCGGGAAGATATATCCTTTGGATATACCATGGAAGTCATTGGTGGCTGTTGCTAGAGCACAAAAAAAAATTCGAAATATGGAAAAATATGTTCTGTATGAATATGTTCCAAGCTGCATTTAAAGTAGCAAAAAGCTGAAAATAAACAAGCCCAATTATACATGATGTAATATAGTATTATTCAGCATTTTAAATACTATGATTATCTTACAATAAAAAGGCCCATAACTAAAAAATATATAATTATTATGTATCATCTCACAAATGAGAAACCATGCAAGAGATAACAAAATGAAAGTTATAAGATTTTTTAAATTTTTATTTTGAAGTTTTTTTTTTTAATTTATTTATTTGACAGAGAAAGAGAGATAGCAAGAGCAGGAACACAAGCAGAGGGAGTGGGAGAGGGAGAAGCAGGCTTCTCACTGAGCAGGGAGCCTGATGCTGGGCTCGATCCCAGGATGCTGGGATCATGACCTGAGCCAAAGGCAGACACTTAATGACTGAGCCACCCAGGAGCCCTTCAATTTTTATTTTGTTTGCAAACATTCTGTAATCTCATTATATTGTTTTTTTTTTCTTAAGATTTATTTGAGAGAGAGAGAGCATGAGAGGGAAGGGAGAAAGTGGGAGAAGCAGACTCCCCACTGAGCAGAGAGCCTGATGTGGGGCTTGATCCCAGGACCCTGAGACCATGCTGAGCCGAAGGCAGACACTTAACCAACTGAACCACCTAGGTGCTTATTGCATTGTTCTTATACTTAAAAAACTAAATGTATATACAAGGAAGACAGAACACTGGAAAGACAGTGGGTAGGGAAATAAAAATCACTCAAAAATTAGAGAAAGATCTTGAGCAGATGTTGGTCTTACAAGGAAGATGCCCTCTTCCTCTGAGGCTACAGAGAAAATCCAGAAAACAGGTGCAGAAACCTAGTACCATCTACCTATTGAGAGCGATGCAGATGGAGGGAGAACTGGGGGTCCAAAGAGAGTAGGAACTGGGATCATTCCTGCTGGTAGAATTTGAAGGAGATGCATTTAAGGATTACAAGGAGTAAGTGTCCAACTGCTGTTGGACAGTGGTCATGAGATAAGGTGGCTAAGTGGCCATAAAATAGCACCTGGCCTGTTCGAATCAGCACTCAAAACAATTTAGGTCCTATTTCCTTGTGAAGAACTGGGTATGAAAGTCTTACAAAGAGCAAGCACGCGGTAAAAGCTTATCAGTGAAGCAGCCTACAGGGAGATGGATGTGGGCTCAGTGAAAGGAAGGAGGTCAAATCACTCATCAAAGAATACCAAAGTACATCAAAGGATGCCCCCTGGAGGGGAAGAGGTGGAGTGAATTTCAGCACTGAATGGAGAGTGGGATGAGGGAACTTCTAACCCTCTCGATCCGAAGATTTCATGGGTCTATTATCAAAAAAAAATTTTCGTATTTTTCATATTGGCACGTACACCATCTTAATTCCCCACAAAACCTCCTGAGGACAGATATTACATTACACTTTCTGGCTCTTCTCAGTGTGTGATCTAGTCATACACAAAATAACCTTGTCAAGTCTACCAAAAAAATAAATCTGTGCCCCTGGGGTTCATACTGTTAGCCAATATTATAAATGCCCCCTTATTACTTAGGTTCTTAAATTCACATGGGATGGATTGAAGATGGATGATTTAATACAAAAAGATTGTATTTCTGATGAATAACGTGAAACTCCAGTGCACTTAGATAATCTGAGAAGCTATCCCTGGGGTTTGTTTTGTTTTGTTTTTTCTGGAATCAGTATCAGATGTATGTTTGTTTGTTTGTTTATTGAGAAGCTCTCTTAAAGTCTCCACAGCACTGCGTGCTGCATTTGGATATCTGCTTCGCCATTATTAGCAATGTAGCCTTGGCTGGGTTACCTAATCTCTTACTTTCCTCCTCTATAATATGAACAATAAATAATACCTGCCTACTAGGGTTTTCATGAAGATTACGTAGGATAATTTAAGTACCCAAAAACATTTATGTCCCAATTTGCTAGCCTTTTGAGACTTCCCACATCCTGCCTTGTATTACAGATATCCAAATACTTCCTCTCCCTCTACTGGAGTCTACGTCCTCTTAGGGAGCTCTAGAGTTTACTTTCCTGGCACTGCTGGTAACTCCCAGTGTTTTTCCAAAGAAAAGATCTTCAACAAGTATTAGTTGGATACTACTAACAAAAAAAGATAGAGGGAAAGCATATTTTCTTAAGAATAAGATAACGTGCTCACTTAAATGAAACTAAGTGAACCACAAAATATGGGATGGAAGTCGTGAAATTTATGTCTGGGCCTTTACTATCTCAAAATAAGATGAAAATAGAAATCCAACTCAGAAGACCCTGGATGAGAAATAACATGTAAAATACTGATAAAGCACTATGAAAACAAGTTTCTGAATATTAAAGATGCCCACCTAACCACATCATAACTATGTATTCTATGGAGAATGAAATCCTGTCAACACATCTTTTCTTATGTACCTAAAGCCTGGCTAATGTTTAATTTACATTATAAACGTAGTCTCAACCCTATACTGTACGTTATCACCCCTAGTATCAGGTAGTATGAAGGATTACATTTAAGTTTCCTATACTTCATGAGCTGATATGAAAGCCTGAAAGCTAACTACTTAAAAGTATATTTAAAACTCCCTTCCTAAAAAGTGAATTTTATAGCACTGACTAGTACTTTAGGATATTTCTAGGAAAAGGCTCGAATAATTCACCTCCCATATTATTGTAAAATCTCCAAACAGCAGTCCTGAAAGATATCTGTGCAATTTGCAATGAAAAGAATCTAATATTTATTAACCACCCACCATGTACACCTTATTTAATCTTCACAACAGCCATCCAAAGCGAGATTTAATTATCCTCATTTCACAGCTGAGGTTCACTAAGGTTAAGTAACCCAAGGACACACAGCTAATGAGCAACGGGCTATAGTGCAGGCCTCCCGCTATGCGACCTGTCTGTAAATAAGACTCATGGAAAACATACCAGGAAGATGTACCAGACACATGATGAAAGAGACAAAGTACTAAAATGTAAAGACATGACTCTCATGACATATTCAACTGCTTCTGAAGCAGGGCAACAGACTCACGATTTTAGAAATGATGAATCTTTCAAGCAAATCTGAAAAGAAAAAAGACACATTATAACTAGTATTAACATAACTGATATTATAAACTACTTTCTTATTAGCTAAATCCTGTAGTTTAAGAAAGTTAAGTCTCATTCATTCACTAAGTAAAAAAAGTTCTTTGCATAATCTTTAAGTAGCACTATCCCAAAGAAAAAACGTAGGCACGAGTAAGTGGAAGGTCTTGCTTCCAGTGCCTGAGTCTTCACTTAAAGAATAGGAACTTAAAATGAAACTGGACCTGCCCCCCCACCTCCCCACCAAGCATGGTGATGGGTATTAAGGAGGGCACGTATTGCATGGGTATTAGGAGGGCACGTTTGGATGTTATACGCAAACAATGAATCATGGAACACTACATCAAAAACTAATGATGTACTGTATGGTGACTAACATAATAAAAAAATTTTTTTTAAATAATTAAAAAAAAGGAAACTGGAACTTAGTGTCCTCCACTCCCATCCTGCAGTAATAGACAATGCTTCAGCCCACAAAACCCTTTCTCCTACCTGCCTGCCTCCTCCTATTCACCGGCCAAGTGCCACCTCCCCGGGGAACCTTCACCCTTGATGCACCAGGAAAGAGGGAGAGATAGCCAACTAATTTGGAACACAGTGGTCCTTCACTTCCTTTGGTCATGGTCCCTCTCTGAGAATCTAATGGAAGTAGACTTTTCTCCCAGAAAAATGTATGCTCTCAAAAAAAGTTAAATTTAATTCCAGCGGATTCTACAACTTCTACAGTCCCAGGTTAAGAGAAATAAATGGATACCTCATAGGTAGTTAGCAGCACATGAAAATGTGACTCTTGTTTTAGATTTTGCTGTAGATGGGCTCTCTCCTCCTTGTCACCTGCATACGTTATACAGGAAAGACCTGGAGCAAATCTGAATCCAAGAAAAGAGGTAGATGAACACCAATGCAGAGCTAAAGGGAAGGGTGTACATATCTGGAAAATTACATTTCATGGAAGATCAAGGACATGAAGACTTCATGATGTCCTGCAACCAGAAAGAGTCCTGGGCCTCTGGAATCTTATCTAGAGTAAAGGTAAAACTATAAACAAGTTCCTGTGTGAAAAGGCAGAAGGGCTGGATGAATATCTACAAGGGCACTGTACTAATTCTAAAGAGAAAACTATTTTTTCCATGTTAGTTACTTCCTATGTCACTGTGAAAATGATGGTTTCTCCTTTAGCTCAGCAAAATTTACTGAGTACTGATCTTCAAACTGCCAAATAGTAACAATAACATCCATTGAACCTTACCCCCATCAGATTCTTTCTCCTACCTATATCGCCTCAGGTCAGAGTTGTCTGGAAGAAATAAAATCACTGACCGGGACAATATGTTGCTTTATCATATTTCACATACCACCCAGAAAAAAAGTCTTAATCAATGTAAAAAACAAAATTGCAGCTACATCTGCTCTATACCTCTCCATCTCTTCTCTCCAGTTGCTCAAAACGGACAAGGGGCATAGAATCAGAAATGGTCCTTCATCATTTAATCTTCCTGCCAAGTAAATGAAGAGAGCAATAGTCTGGAACACACAAAAAGAAGGCAGGTTTTATCACATTTCCACATGAGAAACAACCACAAAGTTGCCATGACCTTGGAGGAAGCACAAACAAAAAAATAACGTACAATCTTCCACACATCTGGAGAGTCGTCCATTCCTAAAGTGAAATCATGTAAGCCTAAATATAATTGCCAAAAGAAATTTAGGGTACTCAATTACATCAATAGTTAATAAGCACTGGTGCTCAGTATTTATGTATTGAACCCTGTGATGCAAAGGGAAAAAATCAGGAAAGATAACAGAAATAAATGAAAACAGTGCAAATAATGCACAAGATCAAGAAAACTCTGAAAACATAAGGCAAGAACATCCAAGATGTGACTACAGATGACCTACTACGTGGTGGTCTCTGCTGCTTGCCACACTCTCCGGAGGGAGGATGTTTTCCTTCCTAATTTCCTCCCTCATTTCCTTAGTGTTTTCCTTCCTTCTGCCTGCATTTATAGAGTGCCTTCTATTTTGCTAAGCACTGGTCTAAGAACAAGTATATCATAGTGAATAAAACAGACAAAACTCCTAGCTCTCCTGGAGCATACATTCTCGTGAAGAAAACAAACAATAAATAACACCTCGTAAGCATATAAAACAAAAATCTTTGTAAAGCCAAACAGGCATATTTTAGGACATGGCTGTACATACTTTTGACTAGAAAAGTTTCTTTAAAAGATTTCTGTGATAGAGAAAATCGCACTCTTTCATAAAACAAAATGTTTGAGGAGCCCCCATCCCCAAATGCTGAACCATTCCGAGAAAATCTATCCTAAAGATACAATCCAAAATCCTGAAAAAGCTATATGCCCAAGGATGTTCACATGGAGGTTAATACAGCACAAAAAGAGGGGACACCTGGCCATTCCTCATCTGCAGAATATTTACGTTATGATGAATTCTCTTGATGGAATATTATGTAGCCAGCAGAAGATGACTGTGAAGGATATAATAAAATGGATAATTACAATAACAAAGTCAGATCAATAAAATACAAAATACATGTACGCTATAATGTCAACCATTTAAAACACACTGCTATTCATTGCTTATGGTTAGAGTGTTGAGGCTATTAGGGTGGCAGTTATTTTTTAACTGAGATTACATTAATTTTATAATGGAAATAATTTCCTTTAAAAAAATAATTTCCTTTTTTAACTATCCATCACTTCCCAGCCCAGATTGTACCAGAGCAATCACCCAATAAGTACATACTGGAACAAAATCATTCTATTTAGCTTTTGCTGAGGATACTATTGAGAGAAAAATTTATCTTTTGTTACAGTAAACCACATGTATCTACAAAACTGATTTAGATTTACTACTGAATTCTATCAAACATTTACAGAAGAAACAATCCCAATTTTACACAAACTCTTTTAGAAAACCAAAGGGGACAAAAACTTCTCAATTCATTCTATGAGTCCATCTTTAACACAAAACCAAAACCAAAGACATTATAAGAAAAGAAAACTACAGATAAGTATCTTTCATGAACACAGATGCAAAAATTCTAAACAAAAGTTTAGCAACATGGAATATGGAGGTATAACAGTTTTAGGACACTGAAGGTAGAGCTATATGAACACTCTGGAGAAAGACTAAGGACAAGTGGAATTTGCTGGCTCTGAATGAAGTCAGGGGGATTCCAATGTGCAAAAGCAAAGGAGACTGCAGGGAGGGCTCTGTACATGATTCAAGTATCTCTTAGCCTGGCTCCCAGAGAGATCCAGAAAACTTACCTTTGTTCTAGTTCCATAGTTCTCAGTTCATTCCCATAGTTCTCAGTTCAGGAATGAACTGAGAACCCGATTTATTTGCCTGAGAAACCTGAAGGTGACAAATGAGGTCCTTGAGGGTACCATACTCAGAGATCATTTTGTATTCTGAATAACCCCCAGATCAATGAGGTATGTATGACTTATATAAAGTAGTCTCCAACACGTGGTCAGATAGAACGTGTAGAACTATGTGCAGAACTGCCCCAACTGGATGTTTATGTATGTCAGGTCAGGATTGCAGGGGGCAGTCGAGCCTCTAAAGGGATCAATGAGACCTTCACTCATTCTGTCTGTTCACTGGTAAAAACCTTTTTGGTATGGGGAAACTTGTATGTCCATGGTTTCTGATCAAGTGGCCTCTGCTGTATATCCTGACTGCACTGACTTTCTTTAGTACCTTATAGATGAATAAAACCTTGTGTGACTAACCCAAGGGGTGTCTGTGTCTGGACTTTCAATCGATCCAAGCCTACCACTGACATTTGACAACACAGGGCTGTGTTGGTGATCCTCCTGCCAGAATAATCCAGCTCAATGCCCAAGGAGGTCACATCTGATTCTCAGGTCTCTAGATTGGGTGCTCCCACTAGGTGACCAAGGCATTCTGGAAGACAGGATTCTTCCTCTGCACTTCTCTAGCATGGCACAGAAATAAGCAGCCCTACCATCCACTAGGAAGAGAGATAAATAGATCCAGTTAACTGAACAGAAGTATCGCTAAGGAGGGCAGAGTCCATTTGATCCCGGGGGCGGGGGGAGGGAGACAGATATATTTACAGAGAGAAAAACTCGGCCCATTAATTGCAATCCTATGTCAAGTGACACAGTTCAAAACCATCCCCATAACTAGGAAAATAAATTGCAAGGTCATAATCTCTTCACAAAGGTTCAGGCATTTCACCTCCTAGTATAAAAACCCACACTAGTAGCGAGCAGCTGAAGATACTGAGGGGCTGTGAGGAGGTATTTCAACGGAGGTGAACAGCGGTCCCTCCACAGTAACATACCTGGCAGGTCTTACCCAGGCCCATCTCATCTCCCAGGATGCAGCCATTCTGACCATGGAAGCACTCGGCGAGCCAGTTGACTCCCTCCAGTTGGTAAGAGCGTAGATGAATCCCTAGGAATAAAAAATACAGCAAGTCTGAAAAGCAGCCATTTCAGCACACACAAGCTATCTTCTAAGACTTCAACTAAAGAACACCACAGCTAGGAAGTTACAGAAATGTACACATGTGCTGACTTCCAATAATTTTTTTTCTCTTCTCAAATGACTTTTTGAGCAGACTTAGTCACCATTATATCTCAAGCCCTAAAACAGCCTTTCCATGTCACGGAATCCACTTGACAGATAAGAAAGTCAAGCTAGGATCTGCCTCTATACTGCCTGGCTCTCGTGCCAGTGTCCGTTCTAGGAATGAGGCATCACTAACGCAACATAACCACAAGCAACAACACTTGGACGGTACATGTGTGTGCAACCTTAACTGCAACCATTTACGTTTGCCATTGGTGGTAAAGGAAAAAAATCAAGCCAAGACTAGATTAAATTGAGCTTCAACAGAGGAGCAGCACCATTAAGAACTGAAATGATGTTGCACAGAGAATGTTTACAGCAGAAAACATCTGAAATCCACAAGGAGTTTCTGCTGTCTCTCTTTTCTCCTCCCTTGGGAGGGGGAAATCCAATTTCAGAGAATAAGTACATCTGGGGGAAAGGGAAGACCCTAAACATACTTTAACAAAAATATAACTTCCTGGTTTGAACACATGACCTTTAAAAAGAAACTAGATGGTATATAATAATTGTAGAACATTAAAAAAATGAACAAGTTATTTTTATTAATCACTTCCTAAATACCAGGAAGAGCAGCAAACACTTTATCACAATCTCAGGTACTAGGTATTCTCCCCGTTTGTAGATTAGAAAATTCAGACAACTGAGGTTCTAGTTCAAGATGGCAGTATGGGGGCGGTGGGGAGGGGATGGGCAAAATGGGTGAAGGAAAAGTGGGAGATACAGGCTTCCAGTTTTGGACAACACAGGAATATGGTCCATGATATTTTAATAGTGTTAAGTGGTGCCAGATGGTAACTACAGTTGCAATGAGCATAACATATAGAGAAGCTGAATCACTATGTTGTACACCTGAAACTAATGTAACATCATGTGTCCAACTATACTCAAATAAATTGAAAGTAAACAAATACATAACATTAAGAGTTAAAATAAATGAGGTTTCAAAAATATGGAAATGTAGGAAGATCCTGACCACACCTCCTCCCACAGATAAACCTATCTATAGCTACATATGGAACAATTTCCTCTGGAAAAAAAACTTAAAAACTGGGTTGGAGGATAGAGAAAAAAAAAGAAACTTAAAAACTGGCAGAGCGACCTCTTCACCTTGGGCAAAAGAGGGAAACAACACTGCAGAGGGCAGGAAAGGCTGAGACACAGTCTTGCCATATAACCCACAATCAGGAGAGGGTGAAGGGTTTGCACCCCACACTGAGCACCCAACTCTTAAGACCAGCAAGCACCTGAGAGTGGGGCGCCTGGGTACCTCAGTCAGCCGAGTGGCTGACTCCTGATTTCAGTTCAGGTCATGATCTCAGGGTCATGAGATCCAGCCCTGCATTGGGACCCTGCTCAGCGGGGTGTCTGTTTCTCTCCTTCTCCCTCTGCCCCCCCCAGCCCCCCGCTCATGCACTCATGAGCACACACGCTCTCCTCTCTCAAGTAATAAATCTTAAAAAAAAAAAAAGACCAGCACCTGAAAGGAGCCCCCACAACATCTAGCTTTGAAGACCAATGGGGGATGGCATCCACAAGACCTACAGGGCCGTGGTAAACTGAGGAACAACTCTAAAAGGACCTGCGCACAGACTTACCACTCAGGGCCCAGCCCAGAAGCAGCCCTCTGAAAGGTGCTCAGACTTTACATGAAAAAGACTCACTTTCTAACTGTAGAGGATTCTCTGAGGGGCAAGGGTCTGCTGGGGTCCTCTCCAGGGATGGAGGGTGGAGGTACCACCTTCCTGCTCTCGCTGCCTTGCTAAAGCAGACAGATGCCGTCTCTTTTTTTTCCTTTTCTCTCCTTTTCTCCCCTTACCTTTTTTTGTTTTCCTTCTTTCTTCAGTGGGTACCATCTTTACATTATCCCTCTACATACTCCAGAACACCAGTATGTCCCAGAGGGGAGCTTCTGCACACATTTGGTGCCCCTGTTTTTACCTTTGGTGACCTGGTTTCTACAACTGCTACCCAGAGGATGCTCCTTGAGTGACTGGCTTCGGAGGCTAGGAGGGCTTGTGCTGTTGGGTCCCACAGGGCAGTAACAACTGGAGATTCTGTTCTTGGCCGACGACCACCCCCAGGGCACTGAACAGATAACAGACAAAAACACACCCCCAGTTTTTTTTGAGAAAGAGGCCTATTTGCTTGTCCATGAGCTTTGACCTGAGCGACAGGCTTCTGGTTTGGCACACTTACAGGGGCCTACGGAGTTGTTCTCAGGGAATAGAAGGTGGTGGATGAATTCTTTGCACTTTCCCTCAGCCTCACTCCAATTCACCAGTATTTTCCAGAAAGATTATATCCTTTTCTGGTGAGCCCTGATTTTTGCAGCTGCTGCTGGGGCACACCTCTGTGTGGCCTGGCACCGGCAGCCGGCTGAGCTTAAAGTCACAGATTACAGGACTCTAACCAATGAAGAAAGCATTCTTAAACAGCGACCAGCCCCAAGGGACAGCAAGAGGCAACAGGCCCAAGGGCTCAATCTTTTATGAAAGAGGCCTCTTAGCTTATCATTTCTGTAGCCTGATGGGTTGGCTTCTAATCAGGCTGACTTGTAAACCTTTCCTGAGACCTTGGAAGGTGCACACTACCTCCACACTCTCCCTCTGCCACACTCCAGAACACCAGCATCTCTCCAGGGGAGCTCTTATACATGTCTGGTGCCCAGTTTTTACGTCTGCTGCCCCGGTTTTTGTGACTGCCGCCCAAGGGCTTTCCCGTGATTGCCCGGCTCTGGTGGCTAGGGGGGGTTGCGTTCCTGGGTCCCACAGGACTGTAACAATGGCATGCTGCCACCCCAGAGCCCTAAACAGACAGCAAACTGAAACTAAGGAAAAGTCCTACTTGCTAGTCCTAGAACTTCAGCCTTGGCGCAGGCTTCCCCTTTGGCCGGATCTAGAGGCTACAAAAGTACTCTCAAAGAATATCGGCTGGAGTGTGCCATCATTGCACTCTCTCCGCCTCCTTGCTACAGCTCACCAGCATCTCCCAGAAAAGTGCTTCTATACTTGTCTGTAGCCCCCATTTTGTCACTGCTGCCCAAAGGACATCTTAAAATTGCCTGGCTCTGAGGGCAGTGGGGCTTCTACTTGCAGTCCAACAGGACTGTATGTATTTGCACTCTTTTTTAAAAGATTTTATTTACTTGAGAGAGAGTGAGAGAGCATGAGCATGTGCATGCACCAGTGGGGAGAGGGGCAGAGAGACAACCAGACTCCTCACCGAGCACAGAGCCTGATGTGGGGCTTGACCCCAGGACTCTGACATCACGACTTGAGCTGAAGTCAGACGCTTAACTGACTGAGCCACCCAGGCGCCCCGGGACTGTATGTATCTGTATTCTTTAAAAGCTGCGAGGGTTTGGCTTCCAAACAGTCTGAATGCAACTGCTGACTGAGATCCTCCCCTTTGTGAAACTGACTGGTCTTGGCACACCCTAAACTACTGGGAGCTCTTAAAACTAAAATAGGCTGGGGTGCCTGGGTGATTCAGTCGGTTAAGCATTTGCTTTTGGCTCAGGTCATGATCTCAGGGTCCTGGGATCAAGCCCCGTGTCAGGCTCTCTGCTTAGTGGGGAGCCTGCTTCTCTGCCTATTTTGCTCCCTGGCTCTGTGTCAAATAAATAAATAAAATCTTAAAAAATAAATAAATAAATAAAAGTAAAAGAGGCTGCCTGGAAAATCACAAAGATTTAAAGACAACCAAGAGGGCGCCTGGGTGGCTCAGTCGTTAAGCGTCTGCCTTCGGCTCAGGTGATGATCCCCGGGTCCTGGGATCGAGTCCCACATCAGGCTCCCTGCTCGGCAGGAAGTCTGCTTCTCCCTCTCCCACTCCCCCTGCTTGTGTTCCTGCTCTATCTCTCTCTCTCTCTGTCAAATAAATAAAATATTTAAAAAAATAATAATAAAATAAAATAAAATAAAAGACAAACAAGAGCTTAACAGGGCTGAATGGTAAGTTTTATCACCTACTTAACGTCCTACACAAAACCAACCCTTCAAGACTGGGAGAGGTGTTTGTTTCATCTTATGCGTAGAAACCCACAGGAGAGACAAGCACAATGAGCAAACATATGAATATGTTCTAAACAAAAGAACAGATAAACCCTTGGGAAAAAACTTCAAAGAAACTGAGTTAAATAATTTACCTGATGAAGAGTGCAAAGTAACAGTCATAAAGATGCTCATCTCATTCGGGACAAGAATGAATGAACTACATGAGAACTTCAAAGAGACAGAAAATATGAGTTCCACACAGTTCGGAGAACTGAACAACACAATAACTGAACTGAAAAACAAACAAAATACAAAACAAAAACCCCAACAACAGAAGGATTCAACAGCAGACTAAATGAAACAAAAGATCTGTGAACCTGAAGACAGAGCAGCGGAACTCACCTAAACACACCAGCACAAAGAACAAAGAATTTTTTAAAAATGAAGATAGCTTAAAGGGACCTCTGGGACAACATCAAGAACACTAACATTCACACTACAGGAGTCCCAGAAGGAGAAATGAGAGAAAAGGGGGGAGAAAACTTATTTGAAGAAATAATGGCAGTTTTTCAAGGAAGATGGCAGAGAAGTAGGGGACCCTAGTTTCGTCTGGTCCATGGAATTCAGCTAGATAGCTATCAAATCATTCTGAACACCTGCTAACTCAATCAGAAATCTAAGAAAAGAATTGCTGCAATTCTATAAATGGAAAAGCCTCTGAAACAAATACATTATATGTTAAAAAAAAAAAAAGATAGTAGGAAGGGAAAAATGAAGAGGGAGAAATCAGAGGGGGACACGAACCATGAGAGACTATGGAC